TGTCAGCCTATCTGCTGAAGCTCAGGAAAGCTGTCCACTCTGAACTTCTGGGACACTGGAAAGAGAGCACCCTGGCCTGGGCTTTATATTCCTGGAGGTAACATGATCCATGGGACTGAAGAATTGAAGGATGCACTGTTTCAGCGGAGGCAGAGCCAGCACCCAGGCTGTTCCGACAGCCCCCCTTTACCTCAAGACAGTGCACTCCCAGCACATCGTGCAGTTTTTCTTGAGGCTGTGAGACAGGGAGTACCACAGAAGTCCACGGTGCCTAGAGAACAGTCCTACGGTCCTGACTACACCCTAAGAATGCCTTTCACTTGGCAACATTTCTTTTCTTCTGCTAAGCAGACATGAAATATAGTGTCTGACTTCTCCAACCTGACTATGTAACAAGGGCATTTCAGCATTTACAAGTCATCAATAATTTTTTTCTGTTCAAATGAATGTAAAGTTTGGTGAATCCCTCTACCACATGATACTCATTAGAAAAGGGAAAAGAGCAACCAAACAGAATCTGTCAGATGCCACCTCATTGAGATATCAGTAATTAACATCCATAATGGGATACCTGGCTGGGTGTAATGATACATGTCTGTTACCAAAAAAAAAAAAAAAAAAAAAAAAAAAAGGCACAGACTGTCTTCATTGTCCTTTTACAGAGGCTTAGCCCACAATGTCACTCTGAAGGGATTTTAATTAGTGATTTCTCACTTCTGGAATAGGCAAAGATTGATTTGTATGATGTGAAATATATAACCACAAATAAGGGTTTATTTTGTTGTTGTTCTTTAATTGATGAATGTCTAAAGTTCTTTTAACGACAATGTACAATTTATTACCAAAGTACAAAAGACTAGATTTTTTAGTTTTTTGTTTTGTTTTTGAGACAGGATCTTGCTATGCAGTTTAAACTGGCCTTGAACTTACTATGTACCCCAGATCGGCCTTGAAGTCACAACAATCCTCCAGTCTCAACCTCCCAAGTGCTGGGACTATAGGCATGCACTGCCACATCCATTCAAAAGACAATTTTTTTCAAGGTTTTTGCAAGTAAACAAGAATGATCAGCAAAGTAATAAACAAAATACTTTTTACTTTAATCCTCAAGCAACTTCTGGTAAAAGTGTGATAACTCAGATCCCGGAATAAATCCAACGAAGCAAGAAATTAAAATTTAGGGAGCAAAGGCTTTATTTTAGGCCAGGCCCAGTGACACAGTCTCCAGGAGCCAATTTGGAGACTGCGCGCTTGACAGCTAAAAGGTAGGGATTTTATTTGTAAATCCACAAACAGCTGTTGGTCTCACAATGCAAGGAGGGGATTGGGGCGCACTACAGAACAGGAACACAGCGATTACATGTCTTGGGAAGAGCAAGGTTTAGGTAACAAGCAAGTTTAGATAAGAAGAAATCCTGCTTTCCTCAGCAGAGGATAGAGAAGTCTAGCAGTAATTAACAACCCCTGTTAGCTTATTTTAGCACCACATCTGTTATTTGTAGAGGGCAACAATGGTTAACATATCAATTAGGTAAGATTTTGCAATTCTTTACAGAGGAGAGCATTGATTAACATATCAATTAGGTCACCCAGAGGGAGAAGAAAAACATATATACGGTATGGCCATGTTACAGGTAATTTGCTATAATACAAATATAATGAAGCTATTTTTCTTAGAGTACAACAAAAAGGATCAATGAAAGGATCACACTCACAAAATAGACTTTTAAAGCAACCTCTTTAAATATCAGTGACTAAAAAATACTTTTAATTTATCCTGAATTTACCCTGATCAGGCAGCAACACAGGAAAAAGATTTCACTGTCCTGCCTAATTCATGTTCTGTAAAAGAGTAGATTTTTTTTTAATTCAGAGAAATTATTTTAAAATTTCTGTTGGCATCACAGAAATCTTAAGACTCAAAAAGGGAACTTTCATTTCATTATAAAACAACAGACTCTCAAACTAGGGAGGCCCCTCAAAACCTGATTTCTCTCTAATTTGTCCTTCTTTTCTCCATCCCTGTGACATTGGTGGACAACACACCCTGCAGGTGGCAGGGCTCAGGTTGGGCAATGCTGAAGCATTTGGATTGCCACACCATGACACCATTTTATCAGCACAAAACTTTTCTGGGGCAAAGTCCGAGGAATCCCAGCATTCTCTCCTCTGCTCACACAGTAGGCCACCCCACATCAGTGACAAATATATATAACGAATATATATATAGCTATATAACGAAAATAGCTTCATTATATTTGTATTATAGCCAATTACCTGTAACATGGCCATATCATATGTTTTTCTTCTCCCTCTGGGTGACCTAATTGATACGTTAAGCAATGCTCTCCTCTGTAAAGAATTGCAAAATCTTACCTAATTGATATGTTAACCAGTGTTGCCCTCTACAAATAACAGAAACCTGCTGTTTCAGTGCTAAAACAAGCTAACAGGGGTTGTTAATCACTGTTAGACTTCTCTATTCTCTGCTGGGGAAATCAGGATGTTTTCCTAATTTAAACTTGTTTGAAGTAACTTGCTTGTATGCAGGGAGACTTGCTTGTTAGCATAACCCTTACCTGACCTAGCTCCCCCTCCCCAGAAGAAAAGAAAAAGTAATCTCACCGTATTTCTGTTCTGTAATGCACCGTACTGCCTCCCCTTCCCCCTTCCCCCTACCTAGCTATCTAGGTTAAGTTTCAGTTTCCTGTAAAGCCATAAAGACCTTAGGTTTCAGTTTCTGGTAACCCCTTCTTGACCCGCTGGTGGTCTGTCATAAAATGTGCTAATTGTGCTGTTCTTAAGAAATGCTTAATTTCAAAGAAATTACAGGAAGAATGTTAGGGCTTAACCCCAACCAATGCTCTCCTTTTGTTCTGTATGCATCAAAAGGGTTAAGTTTCAATCCTTGTAAAAACTTAAGTTTCAGTTCCTTGTAACTTTCGACCCCTTCTCACATGTTAGCACTAATGAGCTGTCCTGAGATAATTAACTTTCTACTTTCTTCTCCAAATGTTATTGCAGATGTGCTATTCCAAGATAATGCTTATCTGCAGGATGGGATAACTTGAAAGGCACCAAAGGCTCCCGATGTTGTCAGAACTAAGTGGACAGCTTTACAGTTTCCAGATTTGGGTCAACAGCTTAACAGCTCTGCCGGGGTTTTTTGTCCCCCCTTCCCGCTTCTCCAGCTTTTAAAAACCCCTTCTTCAGTCTCTGGGGCGCGCAGTCTTTGGGTCGATTCTGGGTCGATTCCTGTGCCACCAGGCCTGGAAATAAAGCCTTTGCTTTATTTCAGTCTCTTGCTTCCTTGGATTTTATTCCGGGGTCCGAGTTATCACAGGGTGTGATGGCAAAAGCCACTGATGGCAGAAACCTGCTGTTTCAGTTCTAAACTACCATTTACCAAACATTTTTTGTATTCTATGCTCTGCACTGAAGAGTCTTCATTCTTTCCAAAATAGAGGTAGCACATGTGACCTACTACTCTATGAGACAGACCTCTCCAGAGTTGTTTTGTGGTTCCTTTTCACAGAGAATGCAAAATAAAGACAAGGAAAACTGTAACTTTAAAACTGTCATTTAAAGAAAGATCGCGTTTCAGAACACAAAAATTACTCAAGGTTACAATGCCTTTTTCTCTTCCAGGGAACTCAATTCAAAAAAATTTTTCTACTGGTTTTAAGGACGCAAGAAGTCTAAATATTAGGATCTAGCCCATACTTTTTACCTGTACATTGCTCTTCTCCTAGACCTCCCTCCTCAAGGAAGCAGAACTATCAGGTGGGCAGCAGATCTCAACTTCAAACAATGTAAATGGTTTGTATCCTAACTAGCTCAGGAGGTGAGTAATGTGGATTTTTTTTTTTTTTTTTTTTTTGGCTTTTTTGTTTTTATCGGTACCAGGGATCGAACTCACGACTGCCTCCTTTCAAGGCAGGTGCTTATGCTGCTGAGCTAAATCCCCAGCCCATGTAATCTGACAGCAGGAATACACCGCCTACAAGCACCCTCTGGAAGTCACAGCTAGTCACTGACACGTGGCTCCAGATGGTAAAGTATCTCACTCTTCATACACCTGCACCTCCTTTTGTCAATATACTTCCCCCCAACCCCCGCTAAATGTTTTCTGTACCTCCTAACGCGTCCTGAAAATTATTTTTCTGTGACAGGAGTCAGCAAACTTGTTCATTGAGTGGGGTGTGCTAGGGGCCTCCATCTCCATTTTGGGGGAACGCCTCAGGTGACAGGTGAGCTGTTGAGAGTGGAGTGACAAAAATGAACTCTGGCATTTAAGCTACTGGATCCTGATCATTCAATTTAACACGTCCTGTGAGCGAGGCTCCGTGCTAGTCTTCCCGCTTTTATGAAGAAATTGGAGGTGGGTCATGTGACCCACTGCCCTACCAGGAGGACCTCTCCAGAGCTGTGTTTACCGTTTCTCTTTCACAAGAGTCATGGTATAGGAAATGTTTCATATTATTACACTAAAATATTTCATGCCAAAGATTATACAGTATAAGCTTTGAAAACATTATTTCTAAGAATTACACAAGTTCTGGATGGCTGTTCAACAGGTGGACGTAATTAATGTCATTTATACACGTTAAAATGGCATTATATAGGTGCATATGTATATGTACATATTAACCACAACGGCAAAAATGCAGAATTACAAGAAAACTAGGCCCAAAGACCCTGGGGCGCGCCACGGCCTCCTCCCACCAGGGTGGGGGCGACCGCCCCCGCCCTGCACCTGCCTCTCATCGTCCCATTACTAAAAGCAGGGTGGTTGCTGAGATGACTTTCGGGGTCATTCCACCTCAGTGTACTAGTGTCAGGGCGCAGAAAGAAACACTTCAAGCGCCTCCTGCACAGCCACGTCGCACACACACGCGGCACGCCGGCCTCAGCGCCCAGCCCCGGGGCCCCCGCCTGGCGCCCGCCACCCCGGCCCGGCTGCAGCGCGCGTGCGCAGAGCCTCGGCGCGCCCGCCCCGCCCACACCGCGCCGGGCGCCGGGGAAACTGCGGACGCGCGCGCGTCGCACTCCTCCGACAGTTGCCCCTCTGCCGGGCACCCAAGCTCGGCTGGTCTCGCCGCCTTTCGCCTCCCCCCTCCCCAATACCCAATCGCAGAGCAGGGGAGGGGGGAGGAGCCTCGGCTCGCCTTCGGCCGCCAGCCCCCGGGCGTGGGAGGGGCGGGGCCGCGAACCTGGGACTTCGGCCCGGCGCGTCCCGGGCGGCAGGGCACGGAGGAGCCATGACCGCGCTGCCGGAGCCCCAGGTTCGCGATAGCTGCACCTCGCTGGGGCTGATGCTGTTGGTGGTGCTGTTCATAGGGTTGGCACGCGCGATCGCTCGGAGGCAGCTGCTCAGGCCCGCAGCCCACGCTTTTATCTTGGAGTTTCTAGCCACCTTCCAGCTCTGCTGCTGCACCCACGAACTGCTGCTGCTGAGCGAGCAGGACCCTGCGCACCCCACCTGGACGCTGACGCTCATCTACTTCTTCTCGTTAGTGCACGGTCTGACTCTAGTGGGCGCCTCCAGCAACCCGTGCAGCCTGATGATGCAGATGATGCTTGGGGGGATGACCCCTGAGATGGGGACGCTGAGGTTCTTGGCTCAGCTGGTGAGCGCCATGTGCAGCAGGTACTGCATGCGTGCCCTGTGGAGCCTGGGTCTGACTCAGTATCACTTCAGCGAGAGGAGCTTCGCTTGCCAGAATCCCATCCACTCTGACTTGTCCAAGGCGGTTATTACAGAGGCCATCTGCTCCTTTATCTTCCACACTGCTGTGCTGCACTTCCAGGAGGTTCGAGCCAAACTTCGTATCCACCTGCTAGCTGCACTCATCACCTTTTTGGCCTACGCAGGTTTGTCATTCCCACAAAACACTTGGCACGTCCTAACAGAACCTTTAAGACCTGGAACTCTAAGTTCTTTATCAAGAAATGTTTGAAACCCCTGCACCGCTCTGATGTAAATATTGCTCCTCCCGTAGCACCCCTGTTCTTAACTGATAAAGCCAACACACATAGATCCTGCATTCTTTGCCTTTTTTTGTTTTTTTGAACACCGAGGGAAGAGACCCACTTCTGTGCTAAAATTGAGATCCTGTTAGATATTGTCAAAGGTTCAGATTATCAGTTACCTTTTTTTTCATGCCAAGGTGGTACACATCCTTCCTCTTACTGAAAAACTAGGTCTAAAAAGTTCCTTTCTACCTAAACACATGATTGGTTAATAGGTAAGTGTGGGGAGTAGAAAGTCTGTAGTTCCATTTCCTAGTCTTTTTCTACAAATTGCTTGTCAGGTGTTTCCATAATAATTCATCTTGTTATAAATGAACTTCTAAATAGCATATTAAGATGTTTTAAAATTAAAACTTGTTTGAAGTTGACAATGCCTTTTAAAAACAACTTGAGACATCAATAGAAATCTTTATCAACAATTCTGTTAAGCTATTTATTTACCTTGATATATTTTAGATTTAGATACAGTGGGTATATACTTTTTTTTTTTTTTGTCTTTTTCCTTTTTATCGGTACCGGGGATCAAACTCACTACTGCCTGCTTTACAAGGCAGGCGCTTATGCCGCTGAGCTAAATCCCCAGCCCCAAGTGGGTATATATTCTAAATAGGCCAAAGTACAAGAAACAAATGAAGTGTATCATTTAAAATGACTGCAACAAAATAACTTTACTGGGACTGTATGTGAATTGTAAAATGTTTTGAGGCATGAATATAACAAAATTTATAGTGATAGTCGATCTTCTGCCCATTAAAAGTCAGACTAAAGAGCTAGGGATGTAGCTCAGTGATGAGTGCTAGTCTAGCATGTGCAAGGCTCTGGGTTTGATGCCTTGCACCAAAAGTGGGGGAGGCTGTATCTGCACAACTCTGAAACTTACTTGATTTATGAAAGAGTCCCCAAATGCATTTTCTCTTATTTAGATACAGTGCTATTTTTTAAAGCTAGATAGATGAAAATAAATGGTATAGGAGAAAAGCACTTAATAGTTCCTTATCAAAGTTTTAGGTTTTGGCTAAAGCTGAGAAATCAAGTGTGTATGAACATAAAAGTTATGCATCAGTTTAGTTCTTTCTGTACCTGTACAGTTAAAAGCAACAAATGACTACAGAATGAGACCCTGTCTCCAAAAAAAGGGCAATAAAAATTTAATATTAATAGAACATTAACTAGAGCTGGATCTTTATCTTTGTCCCTCCTCCTTCTGTTAGGATGCCTTTTTTACATTTTTTTCCCAGAACTAGGTATTACCCAGGGCCTTCACCCAACCCTTTTTATTTTTATTTTGAAACAATGCCTAAGTTGCCCAGATTGGGGCTGAATTTTCGATCTTCCTGTCTCTTCCTCCCAGTGATACTTTAAATGCATAATTATGACTTCATAAATAATACTGTTATTACTGTTTTCTATTTTATAGTGACAGATTTTGAGAGGAGAGAAACAATATTTGAAGTTATAGACAAATATAAGGAAATTTTTGGAAAAAGTCAATAAAATAACAATTTAAGGGATTCTGAACTACTTTTTTCTTCTTGAACTGTGGCTAATAATAGGATATAGGACTAAGCTCACAATTGTAATGGTTTTCAACATTGTCTGCGTTGAATCACCTGGGGAGCTTTTAAAAATATGCATTCTAGCTGCAGAAATTAAAATTTAATGGCTCTGAGAAGAAGCCTAGGCAGTGGTATATTTTACAGTTCCCCAAGTGATCCCATTATGAAACCAAGATTGAGAAGCACTGTTCTAGGAGTCTAGACCTGCACTGTCAGTTAGCCCCATGTAACTATTTAGGTTTAAATTAACTAAAATTCAAATAAATTTCTCACTTGCTGTACCCACATTTGAAGTGTTTGGGAGTCACACTGTACTGTGCAGCCAGTGACTACAGTATTGGACAGTGACAGAGAATATAGAGGTAGAACCAAAAGACAACTGCTGATTACTGCTAGTTATGGAAATTTATTATCTATTATGATCTTCATTTTAACTTTCTTTTCTGCCAATATAAGGGAGATTCACTGAGTGTGTATTATACATGAAAGCATTTTGCTAGGAAATTTATGAGTTTTCTTAATCCTTACACAGCCCACTGAGGAGTACATTTTGATGAATACAGTACTCCCATTTTAAGAAAAATAAGTGAGGGGGCTGGGGATTTAGCTCAGCGGAATAAGCACCTGCCTTGCAAGCAGGTGGTCGTGAGTTTGATCCCCGGTACCAGAAAAAAGAAGAAGAAGAAGAAAAAAAAAAAAGTGAGGCTCAGAAGTAGAATGACTTGTCTCCTTCTATACTGCTAGAATATCCTGGTACCATGGTTCAAACTGACAACTAAAGCACTTGCTCACTTCATTATCAGTATTTTTACAGTTATAAAAGTATTCACAATTGATATGAATTAATTATAAATAGAACAAAGTTCTGATATATACTACAGAATGGATGAACTTTGAAAACATTATGCAGACACTAAAGGACAAATACTGTATGACTTCACTTTCATGACATATCTAGAACAGGTAAAATAACAGCCAAAAAGTAGAATACAGGTTATGAGGCCTGGGGAGGAGGAAAGAATGGGATTGTATTACCTAATGGATACAGTTTGTGTTTAGAATGACAGAAAAGTTTTAGTAAAGCTTTTGGAGAGGCGGGAAACTTTTGGGAAAAGTCCTGATGGTTGAGCAGCATTATGAATGTAAAGAACACCAACTGGCAAATTTTATACAATTTACTACAATTAAAAGGATCCCAATGCCAAATAAGTGTGGATTAAATAGGTATCTGGTTTTAAGATCTCACAAAGCCTTTACAGTGCTACTCTGTAACGTTCCACTCCAAGAGGGGGGATACCGCACAGTTTGCAAACTTCTGAGATCCTTTTGTCTAGGAGCTTGTAGCTGAAGAGCTCCTACTTTGGGAAATGCTGCCCCAGAACATACCACTCTCCATTTTTTTCCACGGATATAAATTATAACTCTATTCCAGATTGGATGGATGGACTCTGTCAGGCAAAGGTGAGCTTTTATAGGAAAGATGTAAGAATGTAAAGGGGAAAGACAGAAAAGTTGGCTTCATCAGGCCTCATTTCTTTTTTTTTTTTTTTTTTTTTTTGTCTTTTTCATTTTTATCGGTACCGGGGATTGAACTCACAACTGCCTGTTTGCAAGGCAGGTGCTTGTGCTGCTGAGCTAAATGCCCAGCCCTTATCAGGCCTCATTTCAAGTCACTTTGATACATCTTTCTTAAGCGTCTCACATAGAATGAGTGCAGACTTGACAAAGCTGCATTGCTCTGCAATTTCTTGAATTGCTTGGCTTTGAGCACTCAGGAAACACCAGTACAGGTTACATCAAAATAAATGATTAATGATTTTGATCAAAATTCAGAATATAACTGTCTGGCAGCATAGCCACAGGTTCCTAGGATCATGTACATATTTACTGATTTTTAGCAGCCTACGTATTTTGTGGCACTGGGGTTGAATTCAGGACTTTCCTTATATAGGCTAAACATGTGCTCTAAAACTGAGCCAGCCCCAAGCCTCAAGTTTTTATATGCATTAGAGGTTACTGATGTCATTATCACTCATGTATTTATTGGCCTCACTAATAAAATTTAAAAAATAGTTCTGTGATTTAACATATTACAGCTACTTTTTTTTTTTTTTTTTTTTGAGATGTTTCCCAGGCTGCCTCAGCCTCTTGAGTAGCTGGGAATGACAGGTATGCTCCAGTATGCCTGTCTCTTAGAGGTATAAAGTATTAATGCAGGTGTCAAACAGATCTTCCTTAATTTGGGTTTTGGAGAATTTAGTTCAGTGAACAAGGTTAAGAGACAGTTACATTCATTTTTATGCATGTAAGCTGTCTTTATTGCTGCACTGTTTTTAATTTGTAGAATTTGTGTTTTGTGTACTAGAGACATAATATGGAACCTTTACACTGCAGTCACCCCCCACCCCGCCCCATGCCCTTTTAAAATTTAAGATACGATCTCACTAAATTGCCATGTGGCCCAGGGTAGACCTGAAACTCATGAACCTCCTCCCTCAGCCTCCTGGAATGCTAGATGGGATTACAGACTTGTGCTGCTACACCTGTCTCACAGACTTTTAAATTATACATCATTTTCTGACATAATACCTGTTTCTGCCACCAGAAGGTAAACTCTGAGTACAGAGATCAAATTTGTTTATTCATCATGATGTGTAATCAGTACTTAGTATAGTGTCTCTTGGTATAAACATAAGCAGAATTTTTTGAGTAAGTGAATAAACTAGCAAATAGTTTGTTCATTTTTTAAAAAACACACAAAGATAAAATACATATCTGGTATTCCATGTTATATATCCAAGGGCTTTCAATAAGTAGTACATTGTTTGAAGTCATTGTAGTATTTTTACTTCATTCTAGATTTTTGGTATCCTTCTAAGTCTTGAATGTGGGTAAGATGATCTGTCAAAAAAGAAGGGATCTAAATCCTTTATGTATCTTCCCTTTTAACACAACAGTTATCTAAAACAGATGCTATTACTGATTTACAAATAAATCCAGCTTCAAACAAAGGTCCCATGCTGCTTTTTTACTATAGCAGTATATAATATATTTAAGGCATAGGTTTAGAGTTAGGTTGTGCCCTTGAAATAAGTAGGTACTTAATTTGGGCCTCAGTTTCTTCATCTTTAAAATAGAAAATAAAGCCAGGCTTGGTAGGACACACTTGGGGGCTGAAGCAGAAGGAGTTAACATTTGAAATGAGCCTGGGAAATTTAGCAAGATGTTATCTCAAAAAGGGTGTGGATACAGCTCAGTGCTAGAGCACTTTCCTAGCATGCATAACAGCTGGAACTCAGTCACCAGTACCTCCCGGCCCATAGAAAAAGAAAAAGAGAATAACACTGTCATGAGAGTATGAAGAATAGTATTTCAAGTGCTTTGCATGGTACCTGGCATATACTAAGTGCTTGAGAAATGTTATTACATTTCACCCTACTAATTCCTCATTTGCATAATTGATAATTTTAATATTCACAATTCCTTTGGGGATAAGTTCAGAAAATTCACAATTTTTATATAGAAATGTCTATCTGAAAATCATCCAGTTAACTGGTTTTTGTACAGATTCTTGCATGTTCCCATAACCTCTGAGAAATATTAATGCTATCCTTCAGGTCTATAAGCGGGAATTTGGCTTAGCAGTACAAGTGCCTGCCTGGCAGGCATGAGGTAGTAAGTTGTATCCCAGTTCCAAAACAAAAACAAAAACAAAAACAAAAACAAAATAATAACCTAATATCAGCTAAGTATCTAGCTTAATTAGTAATGAGTGTATCAGCAGGATGTGAAGAGCCCTGTCCACAGGTCAGAAATTGAATCCAGGGAAAACAGTTTTGTCATCAGAGCCATACTTTTAGTTATAGACAGAGGTGTTTTTCCAAATCTCATTATAGTGTTTGCTTTGATTATATGCTCACCAGATGACTTCTGATGATAGATGGGCTTTTCCAGGGGGATAGCAGGTGCATATTTTAATTACCGAAAGAACTAGCTTCCACTATAAATTTGTAAACTGACCTTTTGGCTTGTACGTAAGTCTTACGCGACTGTGACTAATGTCCATCTGACATACAGAATTTTATTCCCTTTTAAAGTATGGAGAAACATTAGTGCTCTAGAATTGCCAGACTTGAGATCTCATCTTTGGCTGTGGTAATTTCATTACATTCACAGTGTCCTCTAAGACTAGGCAGTCAGCCAGGAAGATCTCCCAGGGATAACTCTTCAGCACGCACTATTACGAGGTCTTCCTTCAAAGGCCAATGAATAATAACTTGTTTGCTGAAGCCACTAATAGTTCTGTGCCTGAACAGAATTGTATCTGTGATATGTATTGTTCTTCTATATTCTTTACATGTATTTGTTATATGTATATACTCAGAAACTATGTATTATTATGTTTGTATTCGTAACATAAAAATCATACCTAATGTTATGGTTCTGAACTAAAATGTTCTCCAAAGACTATGTGCTTGGTTGCCAAATGGTAGGCTCTTGGGAAGAGATGAGGTCATGAGAACTCTAACTGCATTGGTAGTTTGATCCTAGGATGGATTCGTAACGGTAATGTTGAGAGGTGATGGAAATTTAGGAGTAGGGCCTGAAGGGAGTGAGTTGGAGATTTATGTCCTTGGGGATGATCTTGATGCCAGCCCCTTTGTCTTGCTCTTTGCTTCCTGGTTCAAGTCTAATAGCTTTCCTTCCATCAAACCCTCAGCCATGTTTCTGCCTCATGAAAGGGGTAAAGGAAAGGAGCCAGCTGACTATGGATTGAAACTTCTGAAACTGTGAACTAAAATAAATCTTTCCTGCTTCAAGTTTTCTCAGGTATTTGTCACAGTGGCAGAAAGCTGACCTAACATATCTTTTTTTCTTTTTTTGTAGTACCAGGGATCGAAATCACGATCTCACACTTGCCAGGCAGGCACTTAGGCCGCTGAGCTAAATCCCCAGCCCCTGACCTAACACATCCTACATTCTGCATTTTTTGATGGTAGTTCAGTAACTTATCTATTAGTAGAGATTTGCTCATTATTTTGAAATAGTTCATGATATCCCAAACTTAGATATTTTTCTATAATGGACTTGTAAGTTTCCCCAGTTGTCATTATAAATAAACAAATGTCTTATATACAAATACCAGTGTCTCCCCAGAACAGTGGTTCTAAACCAGCGAACTATGTTCCCAGGGAACATTTGACAATGTCTGGAGATTTCTGGTTGTTACAGTGTGGGGAAAGGAATATGCAATTGGCATCTACTGGGTAGGGAACAGGGATGCCACTACATATTTTAAAATGCACAGTACACCCCCAACCCCCAAGATGTATCCAGTGGAACAGCAAAGTCATGTTTGGGGCTTTTGTTAACACAATAACCTGTGCCTAATGTGGATTTCTTTTCAGTTTTATCTGTATAAACCCTTCCAAAACTTAGCAGTAATTTGCTGTCTCTCATAATGCTGAGTTAGATCACTCAGGCACCTGGATTCAGATGGACAGCAGTGAGGCAGGAAAAGTCAAGGAAACTTCACTCAGGTCTGGCAGTTAGTGCCAGCAGTCATCTGAGAGTCCTCAGATCTCCATGTGGCCTACAGCAGCTTATTCTATGGTTAAGGCATTATCCTGAGATCAAAAAAGTGAAAGGTGATGGTTTGTTGATACATGAACCTAGAATTCAGGGTCACTTCTGCTGCATTCTGTGAAACCAAGTCACAGAGATAACCCATATTCAAGAGTGGAAATTAGGTGTGTCATGTGCACTTGTTACCACAGCCATTCTAGGCACCAGGGAAAGAGGACTGCAAGTTTGAGCCCAGCCTGGGGAATTTAGCAAGACCCTGTATGAAAAAAGGGCTAGGTATATAGCTCAGCGGTAGAGTACTTGCCTGGTTTCATTTTCCAGCACTGAAAAGAAAAAAAAAAAGGAGGGGGATAGACTACTGCTTGGTAGGAGCAGCTTCTGCCAAGTCACACTGATCAGAACTGTGATGTGAGGATTAGAAGAAAAGCTCATAAAATAGTATGAGAATGACATGTTTTATCTTATACAAAGAGTCTTCAGTACACCACGGCCCACAGCACTGAAGGGGAATGGTTTGGTCCATTTCTATTAACAAATGCCTTTTAAAAATCAAGTTCACTTACATTATAGGTCGTAACAATTTGTGAGTCTTAATCTTTCTGCCCATGGTACTGGGCCCAGGAACTCCATTTTTTGGACTCTTTCTGTTGACCCATGGCAGTTGTACATTCACAATCTAGGATTGTGCTCAAGGATGATTCTAAAAGTCCGTAACACACATCATTTATAATTGCTAGGTCATAAATATGAATCATGCTATCAGGCTGGTATGCTAGACAAAAAACATCAACTGAGTTGTTTTGTTCAGTATCTTCATCTTAACATAGCTTCACTGTTCTCGGCCAACTAGGTGTGAAATCTCATTAAGTACAGTGAAAGGGTCACTAATTTCCAGGTTCACTTTATGAAGACAATATGCTGTAGTGTTAGTATGTCAATGTAAAACTGTGTGAAGCTCTTGGACTCTGTCTAAGTGCCTGAAGGAAGAAGCAGATATGCACCCTTAGGCTTCCCACAGAACTGCCAGCAATGTCACTGTCTTCTTGGGGAGGCTTCTAGGGTACACTGAGAAAAGCATAGCAGCTCTGATGGTGCTAGACAGTCACCCAGCCTCCGCTGTCTTCCTTTTCTGCTATGTGACTGGAACTATAAACTCCTGGACCCTATAACAGAGTTAGAATATGGACGCAGAGCTAGAAAATGACTCCTAAAGTCACAATTAAAACTTGTGCTTATCTTTCATGACCAACTTTAGAGATATACCAGTCAGAGTCACTTCTTTATTTATTAAGTGCTAGGATTACAGGCATGGGCCATCAGACTGGCCTTAAGAGTCACTTTTTTTTTTTTGAGATAGGGTCTGTCTATGCAGTTCGGGCTGGCCTTGAACTCACTCTGTAGCCCAGGCTGGTCTCAAACTTGCAAAGATCCTCTTGCCTCAGCCTCCCAAGTGCTGACATTACAGGTGTGCAGCACCACACCCGGCTAAGAGTCACATATTTTCTAACAAGTAAAAACAGAACCAATGATACTGCTTTGGTCTATTTCTTGTTTCCAATACAAAGGTATGCTTCTGCCCAGGCATCCTGAGATATCCATTTTAACAGTTTTCATTTTATCATTCATTCAAACTGATGAATGTTAAAGAGCTACCAAAACTGTAGGAACAATAGAGCACATTAATTTCCGATGTGCATTTTATAGCACATAGGCAAAGTGCAGAGTTTAAACTGTATCATATATATATATATTTTTTTTTTAAATATATCTAGCATTTGTAATTCATATACTTTGGCTGGGTGAGTCTGCAAAAGGTGTACCACAAAATTACTTAAATATCTAATTACTTAAGAACACGTAAAATATCTAAAACAAAATAGCTGAATAACCTGTTGATTTCTAGGTACAAGTAAATGTAAAACATATTTGTTTGGAATCACTCTGCTTACAATGTATTACAGGAGGAAGTCTAACTGGAGCTCTGTTTAATCCAGCTTTGGCACTTTCACTTCATTTCATGTGTTTTGATGAAGCTTTCCTTCGATTTTTTACAGTATATTGGCTGGCTCCTTCTTTAGGTAAGCATATTTTTATTTAATATGTCTGAAAATCAGGGTATTTTAAAATACAGAATGTTACTGTAATATGTCAATTTCCACAGCAGAGTAGGAACAGGAAAGAAAAAAAAAAGGTAGTTAATAGGCTCAAAGTAAGATTTTATTTTGTACAGTAGCCTTTAAAATTCTTTTATCAGAGCTGAGGATGTAGCTGAGTAGTATAGCACTCACCTAGCACTCAGGAGGTCCTGGTTTCACTAGCACCATAAATAAGTAAATATACTAATTAATTAAAATCTTTTTGTCTTTAAAGAAACAAAGCTGTCATGTTAAGGTTAATCAGTTTCAGGTATAGTATCTCTTCAAAAAACTGAGGGTAGAAGAGGTGAGCATGTGTAACTCCAACACTCTGGGAAGCTGAAATAGCAGGATCCCAAATTCAAGCCCAGAGTGACTTAGTTAAGACGCTGTCTCAAAATAAAAAATGTTTGAAAAGTGCTGGAGATACAGGTCACAGTGCAAAGGCCCGGGCTCAATCCCCAGTCCCATAGATACACACACAAACCCTGAGAAGTTGGGGGTGTAGTTTAGTGGCAGAGTGCTTGCTGCCTGGGTTTGATCCCCACCATACACATGCACATGTGTGCACACATGCATACCCTGAGAGTTTCAGGTGCAATGGTCCATGCCTGCAGTTACAGCTACTGGAAGACTGAAGCAGAAGAATCCCTTGAGCCTACAAGTCAAAGCTTAGGCTCTTTAAAAAGGAAAAAAAAGCATGCAGTGATTACTTTTTTTTTTGCTGAAATTTGTCTTACCAAACTTGTGAGCTCCAAACAAAATATTTTGTTTTGTTTTTGATCTTTTTGAGACAGGGTCTCACTATGCAGTTCGGGCTGGCCTTGAGCTCACTTTGTAACCTAGGCAGGTCTCAAATTCACAGTGATCCTCCTGCCTGAGCCTCTCAAGTGCTGGAATTATAGGCATGTGCCACCACGTTACAAAATGTTATTTAACTCACCTAATTTATAGAACAGCACCTCATGAATTACTAAATAACTGAAATTAAGTATAGTTTTAAAATTACAAGTCCATTCTTTTGGATCAGATATATAACCATTTTTATATAGAAGGGTCAAATAATGAAAATACACAGTATAATCATAATAGGCTTTTACTTTTCTTTCTGTGTGTGTGTCTGTGTGCAAGGGGGTAATGGTGCACTGGGCTTGAACCTAGTGCCTCAAGTATGGTACACAAGGGTTCTATCAGGAGCTGTATCTCCAGCCTAGTCAATATGCATTTCTTGAGCTCTTATGGTGGTGCAAGCCTGTAATCCCCGCACTATAATTTATTATGTAATTCCGAACTACATGCAAGATGATCTAAAAAAAAAAAGTATTTATTTGTATAAGTTGTCAGCACTTCTTGGTTTTAATTATTATTTATTTATTTATTTACAGACAGTCTCACTATGTAGTTCAGGCTTGAACTCATTATGTAGTCCAGGCTGGCTTCAACTCCCTATGATCCTCTTGCCTCTGCCTCTGGAGTCCTGGGATTAGAGATAAAGCACCACACCCACTTAGCTATGTTTTAAACCTACTTACAAAAGACTTTTTCCTTTATCATGTGACTTTTTTTCTTTTAAACAGAAAATGAGCAGTAAGAAACAAAATGCTATCTGGACAAAAACAAGAGTAGGGAATTAGCGGAGACTAGGCATCCTTATTAGTTCAATTAATTCCCCACCCTTGGTTTTGTCCAGTTAGCATTTTGTTTCTTACTGTTCATTTTGTTTAAAAAAAAAAAAAAAATCACATGATAGATAAGGGGAAAAGTCTCATGATGGATAAATAAAGGAAAAATAATTCTTTCTCCTTTACAGACCAGACTGTGGGAGAGTGTAGTTCAAACAGGAAGATAATACCATGTAGCTACTACTAACACATTTTAAAGACACATGAAAACAGCTGAAATACCCAAATAAAAAATATATTCAATTATTTGCTGCCCATGGAAGGAATCATTTACACGTGAAAATCAGAATCTCTGCAGTTAATTATACATGGCTTGTTGAGAGTATGTATTCAGATTCTGATGGACCCTGCATAAAATTTGTTGTAGCTCTTGGTTTAGAGGCATGCTCTTGTACTCTTCTATGAGGTTTATGAATGAAAAATAAAGCCATCCTTCAATATATGTTGATAAAATTCATGTATGTAAATAAGTATCAGTTGTTAGAAAACTAAGTTCTAGCTTGCTATTGAATTTTTTCATGTATTGAAATTACATTCCTTACGGAAAAAAATAGCTCCATATGAAAGAAGGTCACAATGAAAGAATGTGAAAAATAAGATATTACAATTTATAAAAGTTGTTTATATTACAATATATATATTACAATTTATAAAAGGAGTTAAAGAGATGGAGAAAAAATACAAAATTAAGCAAAAAATTTAACTGTGAAACCTGTTATCGTAAGAGATCACTGTAATTCCTCCAACACTCTTTGTCATCTTTCCATATTAAAAATGTTAAAAGATGACTATATGAATGTAAGTAAGAAGCTAGACATGGTGGCATGTCTGTAATCTAGGGTAGCTCAAGTGGGAACACTGCAAGTTTAAGGCTAGTCTGGGCTATACGGGAAGGTCAAGGCCAGCCTGGATTATGTAGTGAGACCCTGTCTCAAAAAACAAAACTCCAAAAGAATATACAAGTATCTCTTAGTTTATGTATTTCATACAATGAAATTTGGCTAATTCTATGTACTTCATTGAAACTGCAATTCCATTTTTGAAAGGTTTTTTTTAAATTTTGATACAGGGTCTCAGTAAATCACTCTGGCTGACCTTCACGTGAGATCCTCCTGTTTCAGCCTCTAGGTCTGCTGGAATTACAGGCATGCCCCAGTGTGCTGTTTTGCCAAGTTTTAAAATATCATGTCCTTTTTTAGCTCTGACTCCAAAAAAGAAATTGACAAAATCTAGGGTCAGTTAACAAAGGGACTGTATCTAACTTTATTTAAAAACTGGTTACATATGTACCTCTCAAAAAATTGTTAAAGAGTATCAAAATGCTAGTCAAATATTGAGTTTTTCTGTTATTGCCAAGAAAAAAAGGGTAAGTTTCAAGCCTGTATATAATACAACCTCATTTTAAAAACCTGAATGTAAACCCCACAGCTTTACCCCTAAAAAAATTAAGATTTAAGATTACTGCATCATCCCCTTTGAACATAGCAACTTTGAGCCCTTAGGTCATGCTCCTCCACCTTATTTCAGACTGAAAAATTAAGCAAAGGCCTACTAGTTAATTTGTGGATGTAACCTCCAAAACAAAGATTTAGGATCAGTAGCATAGCTGTGTTAAGAGTCTTTGCCTAGCATGCATGAAGCCCTGGCTTTAATCCCCAGCACCACAAAAGCACAAAAATGAAAAATTTCTAGTATGTGAATTTTAAAAATATTTTTATTCCATTTAAAATTTCAAAATGGAGGAAGGAGGAAAGAAGGGCAATGACACATAAAAATAATTAAGATGTGCTGTGTACATGCATTAACTCCATACAATGAATGTGATCATTATGGAACTGAAAACATGTAATACAAATTTATAAAAATTAAAGAAAAAAATTTCAGCATTAAATGAAATTTTTTCAAACACTTTATTGGATAATCTAAAAGAATAGTAAGAAAAAGAAGAGAGAAAGCAATGTACAGTATCACATTGTTCTTACTGAGCTTCCAGATGAAAACAGTGCTTTCAATTGCTCTAGTCTCTGGGTCTCAGGAGGGAAGGAGAGCTGTCACTTCAAGACCCAAGTCCAGGCTTTTTCCGCAAGTCAGAAATAGAAAACTAACACTCTTAATCTTTAGACTCTGCTTATCCTTTGAATTCATTTTTTTAGATCCTACTAGTTTACCAAGTACATACTATATTTAAGGACTCATGGTTGAATAAAAATGTGAGAACATTAATTTATACCGAATCAGTGATTATGATGTTGATTATTTTTTAACTATTTTGTCTTTCAGGTATACTATTGATGATTTTGATGTTCAGCTTTTTCCTTCCATGGCTTCATAACCACCAAACAAGTAGTAAAAAAGACTAACTATTCCAAAAGCTCAGACTAAGTTACAGGACATTCAAGTTGGATGTGATAGATTTCATAACCTCATACTCAAAATACTAGCTGCACTGGATTCATCAATGTTTTAACTTCCATTGAGGAAGTTGTCTTAAAAGTTTTCATCACTGGGACTTAAAATTACTGTAAAAATGAGGTATTCTGTATTTCTCACTTAAGACTTGTTCTTTTGAGTGATGTATTAAATGCTGCTTAAAAAAAGACTCATTCATTAAAGTTCACATAAACCTCAAGTGATAATTTTGGGGGGCACTGGAACTTGAACTCAGAACCTCACGCTTGCCAGCCAGGCACCTGTGCCAATGAGCTAAATCCCTATCCCCAATAATTCTTCACTTTAATGATGGTGTGTAAAGTTGAACATGGCAAAGAAGATGATAGTAGGACTAGAGAAACTGTAGCAAGTGTCACCTGAATGAACAAGATTTCTAACCAAAGTACAACTGGTTTTGTTTATAGAACTGGAAAGAAGAGAGTTTTCAGCCACTATCTCACACAGTGATAGCATCAGTGGTGTCATCTTTCACTAGGAAAGTTGCTTTTGGAAGTAGATGATATAACCACAGGTCCTCAAGGGTTTCCTAAATTTTAAATATAGTCTAATCTAATATCTAATATTTTCTCTAATTAGACAGTCTATCTGCAGGGAAGTTGATTCTTTAACAGAATAAAACAGTGCACCACAGAAATCAAGATTTAAGCTTTTCACACTCTTGTTTGTACTTTGCGAAGTAGACAGGATGTAGACTTTTAATTTCCATCTCCTGGAAGAAGAAGCTAAGCCCAGAGGACTTTTTAACTATTGCTCTGCCCAAGGTTACATAGAGCCAAATGCTATCTTTAGACTTCTGCTTCAATCTAAAACTTCTTAGTCATTCTTATGACTAAAGAAAAACTGAAGGCTCAGAGATTAAAATTTTTTCACAATAAATTTAGGAATTTATATTTTTTGAAGTTTAAAGGACCTTCAGTTTTTCTCTATCAGAAGCCTCCTTTTATTTATGAAGTCTAATTTTTATCAAAAGTTGAGGTCATAAAGGGTTAAGTGTGTTTCTCTTCAAAGGCAATTCCATTATCAGAGTTAGAGTTGAAAGTTTTTTTTTAAGGGCAGATAGGATCTGCTTGAGCACCCTAATCAATTAATAAGTAACTGATATGCTGCTGGGTAATTTAAGTGATGCTTGGAGATCAGCTTGCAGACAGTCTATTCACACCTGCAGAATGAACTAGTGCAGCTTGATGCTGAGCCTAACAAGGTGGCCACCTGATAACCAAGGACTGTCTTTTTAACTTTAAACAAAACATACCACAGTAGAGTCGTATGTAAAAGTCAGAGGTCACAAAATTGTGACTCAGTAGTTAAATGTTAAATAGTTAAATGATACGCTTTACTGGGCTGCCACCTGTTTAAAATAAGAAACCAAGCTGGATGTGGTGGTGTATGTTTGTAATCCCAACACTCCAGCACTCAAGAGGCAGAGCAGATGGATCACCGTGAGTTTGTTGTAAATTCAGCGCGCCTGGGCTGCAAAATGAGTTCACAGCTAACCTAAACTGCATCATATAGCCCTAAAACAAAAAAAACAACAACAAAAAAATTAAGTTGTTTCCACGTGAAAATCCATAGTTCCAGTTTCTTTTTGCAAAAACAAACAAACAAAAGTCCATGATCTTGCAGTAGTCCTAGGTCAGAACACAAGATAGTTATTCCTTTAAATGATCCTCTGACTTCTAAACTTAAATCTGAGTATCACTTACTACTTCATGGCTCCTTTTCCCCTAATATCAAAATAGTTCTTTTAGTAGAATTTGGACTGACACTAGGTCATAATCTTATAAAAATGGCTGCATTATCTTTATATTCAATGTCGTCACTACCTGCACTATATATTGTATGACCTCAACTTTTGATAAAAATTGGAGTATTTGTTTCTTTTTATAATGCTGTCAACTCTTCACTGCTGTTACTGACATGCCTTGACACAACCAGTACCACTGTCTTTCACTAACCTGCTGCATGTCTAGAAACTACATTTTCCAGTGCTTTAAACTTGTTTATAAAATAAGAGACATGCAGTGAAGGTCTGAAGGGCCTATAAGTCTATTTTAAATGCTCACTTGAGTTTTACATTTCAAACTTCTCAGATGTAATCTTTTGTTTTTTTTTTTTTTGCATTTTTACCAGTACCAGGGATCGAACTCATGACTGCTTGCTTGCAAGGCAGGCGCTTATGCCGCCGAGCTAAATCCCCAGCCCCCACTCTCAGATGTAATTTTAAATGGTAGATTAATGTTAAAGTTCTATTATAAAAATAAGTCACTACTACTACTGGTAATAATTGGTAATCTTCTGAAGGATTTCTAGTTAATTGTTAAAGTGCTTTATGTGTATTAGTTGATGTACATAACCCCCAAAATAATCCTAAAAAATTTATGAATTCTTAGTTCGCCTGTACACATTTTTAGCTACTTAGTCTTATCCCCAAATTATATGCTCTTATTTTCTTCCTTTAGCAGTAGCGAGGAATGAACCCAGAGCCCCCACACGTTTGGCAAATGTTGTTCTAGCACTGAGCTGTTGGCCCACCCCAACCCTTTGAAATTTTGAGACAGATTCTCTCTATATTGTCCAGGCGGGCCTCAGATTTGTCATCCTCCTGAATAGCTGGGATTACAGGTGTATACCCTTGCACGTGGCTATTATTTCTGTCTTTAAAAATTAAGCTAAAAATAGAATCCTAACCCAGTTCACTCCTCTCTCAGAAATTTTTCTGACTTCTCATTTGAAATCAGAAAATTCCTCAAATTAGGTATTAATTTATGTACATTGTGCAGAATGAGATCTTTAAGATATACTAGTTTTTGCATGTGTAAACCGTATTATCACTAGTTTAAGAAGCTGAAAGAAACTATATATATAAAAGATGGTTAAGATAGTTACACTACTGATTTCTCTGAGCTCACTGAAGAGAAAGGTTTGTCCTAGTACTGTTCAGACAATTAAATGCAGGTGTCTTGTACTCTGAGTAACTGATTTGAAGATAACAACACACAATGTATATACTGTTGTAATCCCCTTTAAAAAAATATTCCAGTGTTTTTATCAAGGGATGGCAACAAGCTACTAGAACTCATATAAGGGATATTTCTTGGAATTAAATTACTATATATACTTGCAAAAGAATTTACCCATTCTATAAATATTTTGAAACTACTCTGCATGAAAATTAGCTTAAACTGTGAGCCGACTGAAATCTTGTAGGGGAATCCAATTTCAAATACTGAGTATTTCTGAACAATCACTGATAACATCTGTCTTAAGCAAAGGGCTGCACATTATAATTACCTGTACATAATCTCTTACTTTTACCAACACCAAGGAAGACACCAATATAATCTCAAAACACGTAAGAATTCAAGCATATTTGAAAAGTGTAAATTTCTGACAAACAAATCTGAAGGAGAAGGCAATACATGGAGACTGTATTTTTAAATTAAACAGTCTAAAACAGAACCACTAACCCTAAATTTTAGGAATATTTTAGATGGCGCACATTTGGGAGGAAAGGGAAAAATGCTTAAGCCTTTAAAATTTCACTACATCAAGAACATGCAAACAGAATAATTCCAGAAACATTAAAATTAAGCTCACACAGAGTAAATGTTGGCTTATAATTATGAATTTCATATTTAATAGTCTGGCTTAATTTTCCCCCCAAAGTCATGGATTTAACAATCTAGTATTACAGAGTATTACTGAGTTAAATCTTTGAAAAGTTATTTAGTCTAATCTCATTTTATAGAGGATGAAACAAGTCCAGAGGTTAAATATCATGTCTGCCAAGCCAACACTAGAGGCTTGGTATCCTGCTTCTTTGTGTGCTGCAGTATCCACAATACTAGGCTGACTGCACCAACATCCACAGGAAAACAGTGCACAGAATTTTCTGTTTTGTCAAAAGTCATGATTATGAATATGTTTCCTTACAAAGAAACTCAAGTGGATTTTCTAAAATAGGTCCAAGAGAAAATCCAGACTCCTTACTAAAGAATGGATATTGTTCTGATGGGTAGTGAAGAAATTTGGGAAACTCTAATGCTGTCTACTGAAATTTGAAAATTGAAAATCCTGTACAGAATGGAAATTTGATTCCTTTCTATGGCTTGTAGGCAGTAAGGCTAAACAGTGTTCTGGAGCATAGGTTTAAAACAACTCAAAATGACCCTAAGTCATTTCACCTCTGTTTCCTCATATATAAAGCAGTATAATAAAGTTATTAAGTTTATTATAATACATAATACATGTTGGCTCTTTAACATGCCTATAATAAGAGATTCAGAACTTCAAAGAGTCTAGGGAAAAAAGGAAAACAAGTTTTCTTTGCTCTACCTGGCAGGACTGGGGAAGCCAAGGGAAAGTGAGGAAAAGATACTGAGCTGAGAGGTATCAAACTAGAATTTAGCTAATAATTAGCTAAGCAAATCAGAATAACTTGTTTAACCTTTATTCTCTTCCCTTTAACCTATTTTAAAGACCATACATGTAGGACTGGGGATATAGCTCAGTGGCCCAGTGCCTGCTTGGCAAGTGAGAGATCCTGAGTTTGATTCCCAGTACTCACACAAAGCAAAATAAAACAACAAAACAAAAAACAAACTCCTATGCACGAGGGATACAACTAAGAAATAATAAAGATATTGTTTTAAAAAAAGGCTATACATAAGTGGTTCCTTGAGTTCAGGTCTAATAAGTCTATTAACAAGAAATCAGCCTTATCACGCAAGTGTCTGCAAAAACTAAAAAGAACTGATAAATATACAAAATTACTCCTGATTCAAGAAGCACCAGAAATTCTCTGAAATGTGTTAAATCCTTGTTTTACCAAATATTTGCCAGAAGTTCTAAATGTATATTTTCTTATTATTTCATGTTCATGTTCTTAATGAAAGTAAACAAAAACAAGACCAACAAGATCTCATTTTTTTGCCACCATTGCCTTAAAAAAAGTAAATTCCTTGCTATTGGTTTTAGTCAAGAATGTGAGCACAATAATATAGAAAAACCTAATTTATTTGTTAAGCTGTTACAAAGACAAAACAATTATCATCAGGAATACTTTAAGAACCTCATCCCAGTTCACTTGTTCTGTTACAGAAAACTAACCTAAGATGGTAGAAATTAAAGGCTATAACCTAAGAGGCTATAACAAAACAGACTGGAAAAACAAGATGGAAGGGGCAGAAGCTACCCAGAAGCACTTGTATCAGTGGTAGGATTTGCAACTGGGATGTTTCTCAAGAGACCACTTTGAGAGGTCTGAATTAATCTCAGCCCCAAAATAGTGAGACTCTTGCCTCTGTGGAGAAAAACAGGAGATTGATCCTTCTGAGATCTCTGCCCTTTCTTTTAGGGATAAGGATTTCTTTAAGCCCCAAAGACCTACAACCCCTCCCCCCCATCTTAAGTTTAGTCTATTTCCTGCCCAATTCCTGTACATTTTTACCACACTGGCCTGCTAGTGTATGAACAATGCATACAGTAAAGGCAGAAATTACAGGCATAGTCAGTGGGTAGCTAGACACAAAATTTGAGGGTAAATGATAAATTATAAATACCCCCTTGGTTAAGCTAATTCACCTTTGTTAATAAAGGTCCTAGTTTCTTCTGCTGGTGACAACTTGCTGTCTCAGTATAGTTTATCTTGAGGAAGAACTGGTTTAAGTGAGTTTTGGAGAAGGAAAAAGACTTTCATCAACCTCTTCAGAGGAAAGAGGCACCAAGTTCTCTCCTACAATTAAGAGCAGAATCTGAAAAACAAAAGGTTGAGTGTTAATAGCAACTATCATTTACTGAATGCCTTATTGGGAGTGTCAGGGTATTTCAATATGCTTCAGGCCTTGTGATAACCCTGCAAGGCAGTTCTTATATTTCCCATTTTATAGAGGAGGAAATTGGGGATCTGTCAAGTTATATGCCTCATTCAAAGTCAAGTGCATGGTAGAGCTGTGCTCCCACCCTTCTACTTTTCCCCTTTATTCCATTTCATACATTGAGAGGTCCTAGTTCCATTATCCAGAAATTATTAATGGTTGCATAAACACTAATTATTCCTGTTCACCCTTCAATGGCACACATAATTTTAAATGATTATAAATTTACAGACACTGTTTGGAATTCAGGTCAACCATCCAGACAAGGAACATGAATAAACTTTATGAAAAGTATCTCTTTGCCTCTGAGCAGAGAACACAAAGAGAAAATAGGCCATTAATTCATGAGAAAATTTGTGACTATTTTATCATTATTTCACCATTACAAAGAATCGTAAGAATTCTTGCCAGGGATTACAGTAGCATCCCATTTGTGTAACCATTACTGACAATCTAAATGTGTTTCTCAGCTGATCATTAACAGAGTAGTTAATGTTCTCTAAAGAGTCTGTTTTTGAAGAATAAATATATGAAAGCTAGAAGATCCAAAATTCTGCCTTCCAGTTTCAGTAAAAGTTGCTAAACAACTTTAACCAAAAAAGTCAACATGCTACAAATAATGTAATGAGAAATAAGAAAAGATGACTGGAGTTGGTACCAAAAGGCCTCAAAGCTTACAGAGTACCAGTGGTGGTCACTGATTTTAGGTGATACAGCAGCCACTGACATAAGTAAACATGGATATATGAATTATGATTTATGGGAAGGACAGAAATGACATAACACAATTCTACAAAGGTTACTTTCTGATAGTTCTACTGGCAGGACCTGGGAAGAAAGCAGAGATATAGTATCATACAATTCATGGCTGGTGTAAGAAGCATTGTTGTATTTATAGTGGCAATAATTTGGAAGGACTAGAACTTTAACAGGCTAATTTCTGATATAAAATGAAAGTGTATAGTAATTAAAACTTTCAATAAAGTTAATGACTACTTCAGATCAAAGCTAAATGTATCAGAAGAAAACAAGGAATTCTGAAATATCTTACTAGCAAATAATGAGCTTACAACCTATAGATGACTGATGTAGGTAACAGAGTTAAGTCAAATATACAAATGTTGCTTAATTAAAGAACCTGGGAAGCAGTGGCTCAAAAACTCAAACACAGCTAGTATTCAAGAAGATAATGGTATTATAGGATAGAAACTGTCATAATTTAATAGTAGGAAAAATTTTGCAGCTTAGAAAGGACAGACTACTAAGGTTATTAGTGCTAGCTCTATATAGTATAGACCAGCTACATGACCTTTAGTTACTACCTAATATACAGTTTAGTACTCAAACTGACAAAGGATAATATACTTTCCCCCAATAACAAAGTAGCAAACAAGGACAAACCTCAGACAAAGCTCTGACTAATGCACCACAGGGGAAAAAATAACTGGCCAAGAGTTCTTGCATATGTCAGCATGAAAAGCAGACACAAAACAACCTGTGAAAGGATGGCTTTTAGACAAAAGTACAGGGACTTGTTACGATTAGGAAAAATTAGCCTTGAATACTAAGGTCCCTAGGATCTTCACCATCCATTGTTTTTCCACAAAGGAAATAAATACAAGATTATGACTAATGCCTTAGAGTCAGTCTGAAATTACTTCTACTTCTTCCCTAAATTGAAAAGCAGTGCAAAGTAGCAAATCAAAAGCATGTTAAAGCTCAAGTATCACAAGCAAGAAAAGATGACTCAAGTGTAGACTAATGCAGATTCTACTATTCCCACGTGAGCCAACAGGGAACAAATGGTTAATATTGATGGTTAATCTCTCAACTTCACTTATGTCCTTTTCTTCTTCTACATAACTCAATTCTCACTGCAGTGCTTGGCATGTAATGGTACATGAACAACACCATGTTTGCAGGCTTTGACTCCTTCGGGAAAAAAAATGTAATTTCAGTTCACTTCAAAAATCAGTAACATTTTTCCATACTGCTTGTCTTACCGAGCTTTCTTAAATTATGAAAATTAAAATTAATCATTTTGTATGACTTTCATGATTAGTAAGAATAAACTACTCACCTTAAAGCAACATAAATCATTTTCAGTGATCAACATCTGCGTCCTCAAACTGTCCTGCAACTGTTGGTGCAGTATCTACTTCCATGCCATCTGAACAAAAAAAATTAATTGTTGAGCCAGTCTACTCAGCAGTTAAGAAACGAACATATGATTTATAATTTCAATTAGAAGAAAACTACTGCCCTCTGCTGGTAAGAGTTGCTGTTTTTTTTTACTTTTTTCTTTTTTTTCTTTAAAACTGAAGTATATGTTCAAAAACAGACTGAGGGGAAAATTTTACCAATGGATTCAGCTTAGTTAAAATAACTACATATGTTTAACACTAACTTTGTAAATTCTTAAGCTCAACACTAAAAGGACTCCAGGTAGGAACTGTATTTTATGGTACTAGGATCAAAGCCTGTGTTCTCCGCCACTGGGCTACATCACTAGCCTTAGGTAGGAAGCTTCAAATGCAGTAAGTTTTAACTGTTCAGTCTTCTCACATCTGCACTGTTTATGACAGACTTTTTTTTAAAGATACATAGTCCTATCCCCACAAAACCTATAATATCATTCAGGAAAAATAATAAAAACAGCAGAATGAACTTGCTCGTCTGTTTTTTTCATCTCACTAAAAAGTTGGGGAGGAAACAAGGAAATAAGTCTGGAGAATTGTTTATAGCTGTTTTCTTTACTCCCTCACCCCAAGTCACACCTCAACCTTCTGCCAGAAGTCCGTTAGCATCTTGCACTTAGACGTACCAATGTCATATATCTAGAGTAATTCATTACCTTTCCGTGTAAAGATGCTTCTCTTTCCCATCTTGCTAAACAGTACTTCTTACCTACCCAAACCAGAAACTCAAGACCATGTTTCTTGTGTTGCTTCTGTTTCCTAAATCTCTTAAATCTATCCAGTCTTTTTGATACTCATTACCTATATTTAATTTAGGTCACAGCTGTAATCTAACTTAATATGTAAATCACAAAGCAAAACTTTTCTCTTCCAGTATCTTTCCAATCAATTTTCCAGAATGCAACCAAGTCATCATCCAAAGCACTAATCAAAATTTGGGTGGGGAAGGTAGTGGGGATCAAACTCATGATCCTGTGCTTGCCAGGCAGGTGCTTATACTGCTGAGCTAAATCACCAGCCCACTAATCAAAATTTTAATGGGTACTTACTGACCTAAGGGTAATGTCCAAACAAACCCTGTCCCCAGTAGTGGGACTTGAATCTAAGGCCTTGGAAATGAACCACCATCCTCAGCCCTTTGTTGACAGAGGATCTCCCTATGTATAGGTCACCATGCCTACCTGTTTAATGACTTTCAAGTTTCTTTAAAACCCAGCCCAAACTGGGCATGGTGGCACACACCTGCCATCCCAGCACTTGGGAGGCTGAGGCAGGAGGACTGCAAGTTCAAGCCCAGTCTGGGCAGTTTAGTGACTTAAAAAGACACTTTGTCTCAAAATAAAAAAATAAAAAAAGAGCTGGAGATGTAGCTAATGTGAAGGTCTTGGGTTCAATCCTTAGTATCTAAATACAAAAAATAACCTCTTATATAAAGAAGTAATATGAAACACTAAAATGCTACTATAGGCAGTGAGCATTCAGGCGAACAGACCTATAATTATGCCCAGTTACTTGGGAGGCTGAGACAAGAATTCAAGGCCAGCCTGTGGAATTTAGTGAGATCCAGTCTCAAAATAGAGCTGGAGCTCAGTGCTAAAGCACTTCTCTAGCATGTGGAAGAGGCCCTGGTTTGAATCTCTTGCACCATAAAAAAATAAGATGGCAGTATTTAGTTCAAAAGATGGACCAATAGTATAGTTGAAGAAGTTTTATACACAGACAGTCCTAATATGTTAATAAAGCTTATGTAGTAAGGCCAAACTATCACTTAAGCCTAAAGTGTGTATCAGTTTAAAAGCACATGCTACAAATTATTAAATAATGATTTTTTTGCAATTAAATAAAAAATTTTCAAAATAAAAAGAAGGCTGGGGGTATAGCTCAGTTTAATCCCAGTAATACAAATCCATATGCACAAAGAAGGGTGTTAGAGTTAATACCTAGTCTGCTAGACATTATTCTTGATGTTTCTGTGAAGTATTTTACTTTTTGGTACCAGGGATCAAACTCACAACCTTGCACTTGCCAGGCAGGAGCTAAACCACTGAACTATATCCCCAGCATGTGGAGGTATTTTTTTTACCTGAACATTAGTGTACTTTTGAGTGAAGCAGAAGGCCTAGGAGAAAAATGACCTAATTATCTCTAAACAAGAAGAAATTCTGTCAGCAGACCATCTTTGGACTCAAACTATAGTATTAGCCAACTCTTTTCCTGGGTTTTCAGCCTGCCAGTCTACTCTGAAGATTTTGGACTTCCAGCTTTCACTAGCATCTATTTTTAAACTTCTCTCTTAATACTTATCTATGTATACTTTTAGAGGTGTATGTACATACACATATGAGAGCATGTGTGTATGTTCACATGTGAAACATCCCTAAATTTTATATTTAAGAGGGATTATTTCATTTAACAGCAGATGTTAAATGCTAATAGAAGACATAATAGCAGCTTATATAAGATAAAGGAATGTTCCTGTGCTATGTATGTGTGTAAAAGATACATACAGTTAGTTATCTCCTCAACCAGGACTAGTGGGATAAGGAAATCCAGACAGACACATGGACAGAGGGGAGATAATGTGAAGACACAGGAAAAAGACAGCCATCTATAAGCCGAGGAAACAGGCTTAATTTAGATCCTTGCCTTATGGCCTCAGAAAACCAATCCTACACTTAAACTAACATACGAACCCTAAGCCACTCACAGTCTAAGGTACTTTATTATTAAACTAACACAAATTTATAAAAGAAACTTAATAGCAGGTATATCTCAGTCAGAATCATTATTTTTGTTTTTGCTTTTTCATTTCTTCTTGGCCTGTGAGCGTTTTTAAATATTTGGTGCTGGGAATGTAGCTCAGTGGTACAGTGCTTATTCAGCATAGTGGGGCCCTAGGTTTGTTTGGTCTTTAGCACAGCAACCCTTCCAAAAAGGCCATGAACATAATGACTATAGATTATTTTTATAGTTGATATAGACACGGAGTGAGCTTACAAACAAAACAAAAAACATAAGAATTTCTATTTTATATAATTCTATATTTACTTTGCACGTCATAAAGAAATAATTCCGATATTTTTCTTAGTTTCCAAAAGAAAATGTTTCTTTACAACTTCCATTATATCCCAAGTGGCCATTTGTTCACACTGAAGAAAAAGTATACTCACCTTCATAATCTCTTACTGAATCTTCTGTCCGTACCCCAGCCATGTTATACTGGCTGCTCACAGACTGGGAAAGCATTCCTTCTAATCTCTCCAGTGTGGCCTGCCCTTCTGCTGTTAAATGGGATAATCCTTCTTCATAGGTGTAAAATGTGGGGATATCCCCCTGTCCTTGTTCTAAACAGAAAGATGGAACAGAATTTGAAGGTAGAATTTTATAGGTAAAAGCAAAATTAATTTGATCCTAATTTGTATGGAAGGTAGTGTTTTCTGATCAATATAAAGTTCATTCAAAAAAAAAGATCTGGAAATACATAAAGGATTAAAAAAAATCAGTCAAAAATCTCAAAAAGGTAAGAATATATTTAGGTATCATATTTCTCCAAAAATAAGACCTAATTGGAAAAAAGCCCTAGCATGATTTTTCAGGATGCTTGCAATATAAACCCTACCCCTAAAAAAATCCCTACTTTAAACTGTTAGTCAAATGGATGCATTCAGTAGTATATATACTACAACACACAATGGACATATTGCACAATAAAATGTTAACATACAACTAAATATAAATAGTATTACTGCATTAATCCTTAAAATAAATGGTAATATAAATTACAATTAAGCGTTTGTAAATACCACAGTAGGAGCCTTTGGAGGAGAGGTAAATCCCTATGTAACAGATAATCAACTGAAGTATAGACACAACTTGGTGCATAACATGCACACTTGATAATGAATGAACATGGTTGTGTCTAATATGAGTGAATCTTCATAATCTACTATACTACATGTTGTAACAGATAAACTTAATGCACTCACATGAAATAAATGTTTTCTGAATTTTGGTGTGGTGCCTGAGATTTTTGGTTGCTTTTGGGTGGACCATCATTCCTGCTTGTCATCATTTTATAGGTACTTGTATCTCATAAGTCTTCAACTAACACTTGATTTAATGGAATCTTCATGAAGCCTTGCCTGCAGGAGGTTGTGACTTGGGTGAAGAAGTCATGGGATAAAATCTCTGACAGGCTATCATAGCTCTCATCACAAAAGCCCGCCTGTGTCCTCCAGGGTATAATTTTATCTTGGTTTTTCCTCTTTTACTTGGCCCAAGCTTTCTCTGCAGCCAATCCCTCTCCCATTCTTTACTTCTACTTTTTCAAACAGTCTCCATTAAAAAAAAATCACTGACTGCTGTGCCAATGTACTATGAGTATGACACATGGACAAGAAGTGCTCATTTAAGGATTGCTCTATTGCTGGGCAACAGAGATGGAGTCACAAGAAATTCAGGCTGAAATCTGGGGTTCGGAGAGTTACAACAATGTTCCAGAAGATGACAAGACTGTATTTGGATAAATATAGACTTTTGTACATGATTAAATGAGTAAATGTAGACCATTGTACATGATTGTTATACTATATGAAAAAAATAAGACATCCCCTGAAAATAAGCCCTACTGCATCTTTTAGAGCAAAGGTAATTTGCTGGAAATTAATCAGCCTGGTCTTACTTTTTGGGGAAATATAGTACATGAAGGAGAATTCTAGAAGTCAGTTTGTCTCAGGCCAGGAACTGGGTATACAGGGAAGAAAGGGGTTTGGGCACCCAGACTATATGAGGAAAAACAGAATAGCAAATGCCTCAGGTTACAGCCCTATCAGGCTAGTGAATGCATTCTAGCCTGGGAAGGCAATGGGAAACATTCTTAGATAAATGAAGAGATAGATAAGTGGTTAGATAAATGATTCTGAGAAAAAAAGAAATGACCTCCGCAATAGCTGTTTGAAGAAATAGTTAAATAAGGCTAAGATGATCCAGCCTTGCAAGGGATGGCCTGATCTGTGAGGGCAGCTCTCTCAGTCTAAATGACCTTCCTGATTACCCTCTTTCTACCATATACTTTCTTTCCATTTGTATTTGTATACCTATTTTTCTGCCTCCAAATATCTTTCATTTCTACCCTCAAAAGCCGAGAAAGCCCATAAATTTTCCTAATTTGTCTGGTGAGTGTCACTGTAATTCTTTCTCTTTCTTTCTTTGTTTTCCTTTTCTTTTTTCACACAGGGTTTCCCTGTATAGCTTAGATTGGCCTGGTCTCACTGTGTAGCCCTGCCTCAGCCTTCTGAGTACTAGGATTATACTGGAGTGCCACCACCCCCATTTCACTTTTATTTATAACCATTATGATGAATATATGAAGGAGAGATAAAGAACTATATAACCCCTCACACTGTACAAATAAATGCTTGAAATGAGACACTAAAACAAGTCCTTTAAGATCCATTTCACTAACCATGAGCTTCCACATCGTACTCTTCTCCATCATAATCATCTGAGTCTTCATCCTCAGGATCTGGATGCAAGGCTTGGCATTCACACATTGCAGTGAACATTGCCTCCACTGAAAAAGGACATTAATTAAGCTGTAACTCATTTCTTTAAAGTGTACAATAAAATTTTATAATAAATATAATCATTAGTGCAAGTAAATTTACTGTGTAGACAAAAAGTATCTAGGACATAAAATGATCAAAATTCCAAGGAGGACTGATCCTGCAAGTGCCTGAGACAGTGGACAAGTCACAAAACAAGGGTTCAGGGTACTACTGAAATCTTGCATTGCTGGTTGGATTTCTGAGAAAAAGCATCAAAGTCCTTGGTCACAGTGCTATAACCCCTCTGTCATCCATTTGCTGGATTTTTATAGTCAACAGGATAAAGAAATAAAATTAACTAGACTCCTTCACTCACAAAATAACATGGTAATTCAGTACCCACAATACTCTCACTACATTTATAATCTTTACTGTGAATATGTACCTGGTCTTCAATATTACAGGTGCAAAAATGAAGAAACGGCAATAGAATGAAGGTAACGGTTCTAAAGGTAAACAGTAAAGGTATGTGTGTGTATGAGAATGGGGGGAATGCTTAGTACATAAACGTAAAGGATATTATATAATACGCACACGCTGATTTATCAGTAGGCACAAATCTAAATTCAGTAATAGGTTCAACATCATCATCACTGTCTTCTTCTTCTTCATCAAGAGAGTCTTTTATTTCTTCTAGAAAAAGAATAAAAAAATCTTTCTAATGTCACTTATTTAATTTTTTAAAAAGCTAGGAAAAAATCCCTAAAGGATATTTATTGACATATCTGAATATTGAGTTTTTTGGACCCAAAGATTGAACCCTGGACTTCAGGGCTTTTACATTGACTTATATCTACGCTCCTTTTTTTGTTGTTTTGTTTTTCTTTTTGAGACAGGTCTTGCTATACAGTTCAGGCTGGCCTTCAGCTCATTTTGTAGCCTATACTGGTCTCGAATTTGCAATGATCCTCTTACACCAGCCTCCCGAGTGCTGGGATTACAGGCATGCACCATTCTGCCTGGCTCTACCCTCCTTACCGGGGATTGAATTTACAATCTCGTGCTTGCCAGACAGGCACTGTGCTGCTAAACTATATCCCAAGCCCTGACTCTAAATGCCTTAAAAAGAAAAAAAAAAAATTTTTTTTTTTTTGAGACAGGGTCTTGATAAATTGCTGAGGCTGGGCTCAAACCTGAAATCTCCTGCCTCAGCCTTCCAGAGAGCTGGGATAAAGGCATGCCCCAAATTTGGTTTCAGGTTTTATGGTTATTTTTAGAGCTAAAAAGGTTCTAGGTTCAGTTGTAGAGCATCTGCCTAGCATATTCAAGGCCCTAGATTTAATCCCTAGTATGGTAAAACCAAAACCAAACAAAAGAAAAAAAAAAAAATCACACCAACATTTGGAGCTGTCAGGAATACCCAGTCTTCCAACGCTATGAATGAATGAATGAATAAATGCTTTAAACTAAATACAAGCCAGATGTGGTGGCTCACACCTGTAATCCCAGCACTTGGGAGGCTGAAGCAGGAGGATCATGCAAGTTCAAGACTTTGTAGCCTGGACTACAAAGTGAGCTCAAGGCTAGCCTGAACTGTATAGAGACTGTCTCAAAAAGACAAAAAACAAACAAACAAACAACAACAACAAAAACTAAATACAATATACAATTCTCTTCATTGGTACTATGGAATGTTACTGAAAGTCCTCATGTTAAAGCTTGGTCCCCAGGCTGTGGTGTGGATAGGAGGTGGTGGAACCTTTAAGAGGTGGGACCTGGTGGGGGAAAACTGAGTCAGTGGAGGTACACCCTCAAAGCAGATCTCAGAATGCCTGTTCCTTATTTATTTGGTCCCTGGCCACTATGAGGTAAACAGGCCTCCTTCATCATGTGCTTCCACCATGATGAACTGCACTATCCAGGCCCAAAGCAATAGGCCAAGTGACCACTGAGTGAAATCTTTGAAAGTGTGAGCCAAAATAAACTTCTCCCTTATTAAGCTGATCATTTCAGGTATTTTGCCACACTAACATAGTCCTAAAAAACAGGTGCATTTACTCAGATGTTGAGTAAGTTTTGTACTGAATACCTCTTAGGAAAACTTATTACAGCTCAAGGTCAACAGCTATTTACTTTTCCTTGTCTCCATTTCAAGTTTCACTAAATTTTTATCTCTGAATCCTGCTCAATTGCAAAACTTTAAAATCTTACAACAAAAATTTCTGGGCAGCTAAATAGACTATTACCACCTAATGAGGCATGGCTTTCTAGTCCTAAAAACTAATAATTAAGAGTCACAATAGTATAAATGGTCATATATCTAGACCCATATGAAAATTTCAGTTTGAAGGAATAATATTTTAAGACGCAAACTCATGGGACTGTCTCTTATACAATATTGGAAAGAAAAGCAAACATGTTTCATTACATTTCTATGAATCTTTGCAACTATTTCCAACAGCAGAACTTGTACCCAGGTTTTCTAAACCTTGGCACTTTTGACATTTGGACCAGATAATTTTTTGTTGTGTTGGGCTGCCTTGTGGATTATAGGATAGTTAGTAACATCTTTGGCATCTAATTAAATGCCAGTGCATCCCTCCCTCCCTTAATCAAAATGTCACTGCCAAATGTGAGGGACAGAAGTTTGAGTAAAGGTACAGGAAAATGCTCCTCACCCATCTACTGAGAACTACCACTGTAAAAAAACAAACAATTTTATCCTACATTCTTGGAGGCATGATATATACTGATCCAAGACTCTAAGGATGCCCTTACAAAAAGACACTATAATGTTAAACTCGTGAAGAAAAAAGTAGAAATACATACAATAGTAGATCGATTCTAAGTGCAAATATATAGGAAATAAGGCAGATACACATAAATGTCCATTATAAGAACTTCAAATGTACAAATTATTTACTGTGCTAAAATTTTGCTATTATCCAAGGTAGGTCAATGGCTAGAATATTACATTTCATCAAACACTGTATTGTGGAAGGGATAACTGGGACACCCTACAGTTCCAGCTATTTGAGAGGATGAGCCAGAATGATTACTGGAGTGAGGAGTTCAGGGCCAGCCTGGACAACACAGACAGACTCTGCCTCAAAAGTAAATAAATAAAGATTGGTTTTTAAAACACAACATAAAGGAAGGACTAAATTAAATTATAACATACATACCTCCAAATTTAGAATTCACCATAACATACAAATGTTCTCGTGGATAGGCATTTAGGTCCCTGGACACAGCATGTAAACTAATGGTGGGGTATTCCAGTGAGAATCCTAATCCGGAACCATCTAACCAAGACAGGCGGCTGAAAAATATGTTTTAAGTAATTATTTTAAGAAATTAATCCTATTTTAATACAAGTTTACAACAGGCCCTCTTGGATGCTTTTATGCATATAAATAAACTGAAGCTTATGGTTTACAAGTTTTCCTAAAAGAAAATTTAGCAACAGGAACTGAATTTGTTTTATTATGATTTTTCTTCTAGCTATAAACTCAAATCTGAAATGAAACTTTTCTAGTTACCTGTGTGTCCTTGGTGCTTACACACTCACCCTGCCTCCCAAGTAGTAAGTATTGAATCTAGGACCTTGAGCCAAGTGCTCTCACCTTGAACTATATCCCCAGCTCTTTCAATTACTTTAGTTCCTAATTATCTCTTTTATTTCTAAACTGCACTTAAATTTAGTATGTTAAGTTAGCACATAACTTTATGATAATGAATTTTACATATACCCTGCTGCTTGACAGCAGTATGTGACATGTCACTTTATCTAGCATTCTTCAAATACATTAACAGTGATCAGCACGTAAGCATACAATACATACCTGGTGATTAGCAATTTCTCCACTAACCTTACAGTAAATGATATACCCACAAGATGGCTGTACTGTTAATTACAACCACACATCAAGAATTACAATATTCCCTTGAGAGACAAACTCTATGAAGATTTTAATTTACTCCTAACTTTAAGCAAAAGCCACAGATAAGCCAGGTTTAGTTTTCCCTCAAAAGTGGTCAAATGCAAACATTTTATTGGTATAACAAAGTAAACTACCACTAAAATTAGTTGAACGACTAGTTTTTTGGTCATACTTCAAATGTCAAGAATTGCATTGCATAGCAAGGGATAAAAGAAAAGCAAAAAAGAAACTTAAAGAAACCACAAAAAACATTAATGTAATAAAAGTTAATGCAGGCTATTTGCAGACTCAAGGTAGAAAAAAGGCCATACCAGGAAGCAAGTCCAGTCTGGGAACCAGCGCCACTGGTGGACCGCAACAGACAGACCCCAGCCCCGCCTGACACACAGGCTGGCAAACAAAAAGTACCAAACCCCTAACCCCACCTCTCTCCACCCCTGCCAGGGGTGACCAGCTTATCTGGAAAAATACAGGCTATGGTGATAGCTATGGAGGTGAAATGCAGTTGGATGCCTGTGATGCTTTGGTTTTTCACTAACATTGCAGGCTTAGGGCCAATGGTCTGATCACAGAGTCAGAGGATAGTAGTACGCAGTGTGGTATCTAGGAGATCTCCTTCTGAGGGTTGCAGCCATTGCTGACTCCCTATGGTCTTGTTTTGGAAGTCCTATATTATTTCCATTGTTTTGTTGGGTAGGATTTTATTTTCTTTTGTTTTATTATGTCAAATCCAATGACAGGAGCAGCTATTTCAAAGATGGCAAGAAATAGTATGGCAGCAATTTTGGATTTACCATTGGCTTATTTTGAAGTTCTTTATTGCATCCATTTGTCTTGTTTTTACTGTTTCTATTCTATCCCGTGTTTGATCTTTACTATGTCCAAAGTTATCTGCAGCTATTTTGAAGACATCAAGAGGCATTATGGTAACTATTGTTCATTTTATAATGTTTTGAAGTCTTATATCTCTTACATTGGTTTTGACTGATTTATTCTATTTTATTCTCTTTAAAATAAAATAAAAATAAAGTTAATGCAGTTGGGTGAAATGGTATACAACTGTAATCCTAGCCCTCAGGAGACTGAGGCAGAAAGGTTGCTGTAAATTGGAGGCCAGCTTGGGCTACATAGTGAGTTCCAGGTCAGTCTGGACTACTTGACAAATCTCTGTCTCAAAACACACACACACACACACACACACACACACACACACACACACACACACACAGTGGTTTTCCAGGGCTGGAAAGAAATCACACACACACACAGAATAGTGGTTTTCCAGGGCTGAAATGATTGCTAATGAGCCCTGGTTTCTTTTTGGTGCAAAAAAAAATATTCCAAAATGGACATGGTGATGGAGACAAAATTGTACAAAAACCATTGCATTGTACTTTTTAACTGGGTAAACTGCATGCCATGTGAATTATCTCAATAAAGACTTTATTTAAAAAAGAAGAATCTGCTCAGCAGTAGAACACACTTTCTGCACATGAGGCCCTGAATTCAGTTTCCAGCACCAAAAAAATAAATCAGAAAGAAGTTAGTAATACTTCTGTATCATTCGATTTTCTATAAGACTTTAACAAACCTGGTGTCTATTTTCTAACTAAGAAAAATCAAAAGTGTAATAGGAACACTTGAGACTCAGGCGGCAAGGAATACAGAGTAGCAGTCTAAAATCATTCCACATTCCTGCAAGGAAGCTGAATTTTATACCTCAGCATTCCTAGGAAGGCAATGTGTCAACAGTACAGTACGCGACCAACTATCAAAAGCATTTTATCACAAGTCAAAGCAGAATATTAAATCATGTTGGTAACTGTACAACTCCATAAACATACTAAAACTTATTTAATCAACACTTTAAAAAATTTAAAAGCAAGAAAATATTCACTGTCATTTGGAAAGATTTCCATCCAACAGGCTTATTTTTAAGACAACTGAAAAAATGGCTTAAAAGTGATAAACCTTAAAAAGCATAAAGTGATAAAATCTCTAGTCTGACTCATCCCTACTGGTTCCAACAAAACAGATTATGTAATTAAGTTGTGTGCTGTGTCTGCCTTTCCAGTCTGCTGCTTGCCTTTTAAAGTGGAGATGAAACAGTGCTGACAGATTCCAAACCATTCTACTAAAATGATCTTATTTTAAAGCAAATAACTACTTTTTACTCCCCTCAAATATCTCCTTGCATGATCCAAATATTTATTTATTTATTTATTTATTTATTTATTTATTTATTTATTTATTTTTGTCTTTTTCGTTTTTTATCGGTACCAGATTGAACTCACGACTGCCTGCTTGCAAGGCAGGCGCTTAATGCTGCTGAGCTAAATCCCCAGCCCCTATGATCCGAATATTTAAATTGTGCATTACAAACTTCTAAACCAAAATAATTTTAAATATCTGGAGTCACAAAACTTTAAAGCCTCAGTCAGCAGATGGAAAAAGAAACACAGAACAAGTGCCTATCAAATTATGGCCTTTAGTTTAAAGGCACATAATAACTGCTCTGAACATCTTTACTGCAGACAGAATGCTGCCTCAGCACGGCATTCCTGTGGTGCGCTCAGAATCTTATACATAGAAATGGATTTTGTAAATCCAATACTTACTTGATTATTAGGTTCTGATTTATTTAGCTTCTTTTCCTATATTCTAGAAGAAAAGCTGCCAAAGACCAAAATATGTATTTATACCTTGTTTAAAAATAAGCATTCATCAAAAAGGGAAAGGCTAAGAATTAGAAAGCCAGTAAATGTGGAGAGAAATATTTTGCTAAACTTTAATGCTTTCTTATTCCTGCAATAGGGTTAAAAAAAAAAAAAGACAAAGTAAGAAAGGCTTTGAATGTGGGATGGCTTATTTGGTTAAAAATTAATTCTGAAATGAGACACCAAAAACCTCATTTCTAAGTTTAAATTCTCCCTTTTTATTTTGTTGTTGCTGGTTTGGTGGTGATGATAATGATACTGAAGATTGAACCCAGGGTCAATGCTCTGTTAGTGAGCTGAAACCCAGGCCTATTTATTACTATGTTGCCCAGGCTGACTTTGTTCGAACTTGTGATCCTCCTGCCAAGTAGCTAGTTGTAAGAATGCACCATGACGCCAGGTTTAAATGAACTGATTCACCTATTTTATTTATTTATTTTTGACTTTTTGAGACAGGGTCTCGCTATGCAGTTCAGGCTGGCCTTGTGCTCACTTTGTAGCCCAGGCTGACCTCGAACTTGCAACAGTACTCCTGCCTCAGCCTCCTGAGTGCTGGGATTACAGGCATGAGCCACCACGCCCAGCTCACCTATTTTGAATTACTCAAATTGGGGTGGGCATGGTGGCTCACGCCTGTAATCCCAGCAGAAGTTCAAGACCAGCCTGGGCTACAAAGTGAGTTCAAGGCCAGCCTGAACTGCATAGAGACCCTATCTCAAAAAGACAAAAAAAAAAAAAAAAAAATTACTCAAATTGGGGCCGGGGATGTAGCTCATTGGTGTTAAGCACCTGCCCAACAAACATGAGGTCGTGAGTTCAATGCCCAGTACCAAAAAAAAAAAAAAAAAAAAAAAAAATTACTCAAATTATCTTGTCAACTTATAAAAACTAAGCTCTGAATATAAACCTGAGAGTTCTCCATCTGTAAATACAGATCTGAGAAGCTATCTACCTAAAACCAAATCTGACAGTATTCCTCTTTGGCTGAAGTCCTATGGTTTCTCCAAAGCCCAAGTCTTACTGTAAGTCAAGCTTCTGAAGTCTCTCCTGTTCCACGTTTACTATCTCTTTCCACGATATTCCCTTATTGCCTTAGGCAAAGAACCGTTACACTGAGTATATAGGTACACACATATGCTTTTCACCCTTGCATCTGGGTGCATTACCCTGTTTTGAACACTTCCCCCCAGGCCAACCCCATGAACCTGTCTGTTGTTAATCATCATGTCAAAATCTTCAGAAAAAAAAAAAATCTTCAGGAATCCTTCTAAGTTTATTAAAACTCATCATGCTAGGCCTGGTGGCACATTCCTATAATCCTAGCACTTTGGGAGGCTGAGGTAGGAGGATCACTATGAGTGCAAGGCCAGCCTGGGCTACATAGTGAGTTCAAGTCAGTCTGAACTACATAGGGAGACCCGTCTCAAAAAAACCAAAACAAGTAAAACACAATAAAAACTCACTGTGATTTGGAAATGCTAGGTATCTTGGAGTCAGCTAGTCATTGACTGAAACTTTTGAAACCACAAATCAAATAAACTACTTCCACCTTAAATTGAGGGGCCAGATATTCTGTCCAGCTACCATAAAACTATGCTAAGGCAAGGAATTACATCTGTCACCCTCTACTACATAAAGGAATCTCTTCTCCCAACCTCTCTGAAAATCATCTTGTCAATATTCAATTGTTTTCAGATTTTGACTGCTCCTTCCTCCCTTTCTCAAGTCTCTTCTTTCATGACCCATCTCTTTAAAGCAGGTTATCTCCAAGGTTCTATCCCTGGCCCTCTCTTATTTGGTTATGTAATACACTCACTCCTATGAATATGCTAATACTCAAATCTCTATCTTTAATGCTAGTGTCCTAAGACATACACTTCTGTATCTGACCATTCTACATGTCCAGTCAAAATTCACTACCTTGCCCTCCATTCCAAACTTACTTTTGCTCCCATCAATATTTCCTATCCGAGTGACTAGCCAGAAGCCTAAGCTTTGCCCACTGTCTAAACTTAGCTATTAATTTCCTTGTGTCATGCATGTAGAAGATGGCAGAAGCCAGCTCTGTAAAACAAGGTTACTACTAAACTGACACTGAAATAGGCAACTTCTGGATTATCTAGGTAAGTCCAATGTGATCACATGAGAGCTTAAAAGCTTGGGCTTTAATATAGTAAATGAAGAAATTAGACACTTTGAAGGACAACGAGGATTCAATGTGTCATTGTTAGCTTAGAAAATGAAGAAACTACATGTGAGGTAAATGGGGATCTCTGGCCTACAACCGCAAGATTTAAGGCATGCCTATCTGGCTGTAAACTAACAAAGTGCTCCAGGCAGCCAAATCAAAAGGGAATTCCCTGCAGGACCCTCTGGGCATGACGACTGTCAGCTTGGGGGGTGAGAATGCTCATTTCCCCACGTGCACCTAGAGAAAAGCTTTACTTCTTTAACAAACTATAACCTCCTTAACACGATCTGCCCTGAACCTACTAACGCTTCGCAGGCCAGCACCCTCCCAAGTTCATAAGGAGAGACAGTTGATGACTAACTCAGGATCTCAAACTAGAAATCTGAAAACATGCTGGGGATGTAGCTCATGGAGAGAACACTTGCCTCGCCTGCGCTAGACGGGGTTCCATCCCCAGACAAGGAAACAAAACACTTGAAACGTGACAATGAGTTGAAAGCAAAGCATGCTCCTGGCCTTTATGACACAGGCTAGTTAAAAGCACAACCCCTGTGGAAAATTGCGTCTGCAGAACAGAGAAACAAAAGCTCCAAAGGAGGTGGTGCTCTCAGCACAAGCGTCCTCAAAGCGACACACCGTATGCGATTTCCCCCTACCCAGCAGCCTGGATTTTGCGTCTTGCCAGCACCATGCTACAACCACCCGCAAGGAAGGCGGGGACCAAGAGGCCGGCGCAGGAGAATAGGGACTCTACCTCTCAGAGATGTAAAGGGTGCCAGTGCCGAGGCCGTTTCCATTCAGCACAGCCTCGGTATCTGGCTGCTGGTGCCGGAGCCCCTCAGTCGACCCAGGTGGCGGAAAACTTTTGAGGAAGCTCATTGCAGCTGGCAACATCGGAACACAGGATCGGAAAAAGCCGGGCCACCGCAATCACCGTTTGCTGCGGCCCGCCCCGGAAGCTGTGGCAATCGCCCCGGAAGAACACCATACTCTACACCGGAATGAACTCCAGCAACCATAGAGGCGAGACAGTCTAGGAAAAGCGCTCGGAGGTGGTTGAAGGCCCAGCGGCTTTGTCACGTGACAGTTTAACGTCACCCTTTTTCGGAGGCTAGAGGCATGAATAACATTGGTTCGCTGGGTTATCCCTGCTCGTCACAGCAAACCTCTGAAAGGGGACACAGAAGAAATATTAGCATCCCTTTTTCTACGAAAGCGGAAAGGGGCCTCAGACAAAGATTCCCTCGCCTGAGAGGATGCACCAGACGTAGAGGGCCACATTCATCTAGAGGTCAGAAGTCTCGCGTCTAAACTCGACGATTCTTCTCGCCTGTTCCCGCCTCACGCGGCCAGTTCACACGTCAGGTTCACAAGACTCGCACCAGACACCAGTTTAGGTCCTGATGGAGCCCTAGGGCCCCAGACACTTCTCCCACCCTTCAGGCGGGCAGGAGCACAATGAGGTAACTAACGCGGGGTGGAGAGCGGGCAGAATAGTAAGGCGACAAGGCTCCAAGATTTTTACAACAGTCGTGGTAGTAGCAGACGTTAGCCGAGTGTTGTGCCATATACTGCGAGACTACCAAGGTTTTGGGTTGTTTTGAGGATCTTGCTATGTACTTTAGGCTTGCCTTCTTGCGATCCACCTGCCTCAGCCTCCCAAGTGTTGGGATTACTGGCGTGCACTACCATGTCCCACTTCTTTTCTATGACAAATAGTATATATAGAAGTTTTCTGTTTTTAGAGCCAAAGTTTGGTCGTGAGCGATCTAATGGAATGACAGTTCCACTTTTCTTGTTTGTAAGGTTAATTTATATGCAGTAGGTAAGACTGTTGAGGCTGAGTGAAGGACATGTAGGGTAGTTTTATTTGTATGTTCTCAACAGTTTAGGAGAGCATTAGATTTTTAAATTGGATTAGTTTATTGATAGTGAGACTAGGGGAGCTAGGTAGTAATTGTCCAAAAAAGTGGCAGTTGAGAACAGAAAGACTGGGAAAAGATTCTAGAGCGATCTAAAACCCTTATAGTTTAGAGACACGTTAAGAGGAAGATGATTTTGAAGATCAAGATAGATGTAAATAAGTTAAGGATTCTTTCTAAAATTTCAGTTTAAGAGATTAAGTGGCTATCACCTCATTTCTCAGAAATGGAAAATTCAGGAGGAAGTTTTGAAAGTACTTTTCAAACCTAATTTGAGAAATGACCAGTTTGATGCTTCCCATAAGACATTTATTTATTTCTGGAGACTTGCTCTGACTGGCTTTACTCAGAAATGGAATCCTTCAATTACAGGGAAAACTGGTTAAAATGTGTCTAATAATTTCATATCAATTTGACCAAAGTTTCATAGAATACTTTTTAAAAAGTATTTCTAACAGCCCAATGGCTGTTAGATGCTGAGTTTACAAATAAAACTGAAGATCAAAAAAATTAAATGATTTGTTAGAGGCTACAAAATAGCTAGAAATTAGATGCCTATTTATACCAGTCCAGCAGCAACACCTCCTAAACTACATGGCAAAAGCTTACAGAGTCCTGCTTTTTGGTAATGGTAAAAGTTAATTTTCCAATAAATTTATTCTTATCAGGTTAGAATGGTAAGAATTATTATTAGCTTACCGTTTAATAAGGTTCTGTCATCACTAATTAAGTCCTTTCTCTTTTGGGCTCCAAATACAGAGCCAACATAGTATAAAAGCTATTTAGTTGTTGAGGTCACAGTGCAATTACTCATACCTCACTAACAAGTAATGATGCTAAAAATCGCAGAGTTTCTGTAACAATTGTCCCTAATGATGGAGTTCAATTACTGTTTCCAAGAGACCTTATTTCTTGGAGTGTCCCCTAGGGTTTGTGACACTTCAGTGAGAATTTTCAAATACAGTTTAACATTTCTGTAGTCTGTATAACTATTGGTAGTTAAGCAAGAAATCATTGGGAGAGACTGAACCAGTGACAGTATCAAACTTTTTTTCATCAATCAGAATTTTGTAGAGCAGAGTGCCTGTAGAACAGATAAAAGACAGGGACAATTGAAATGTGAAAGACCCAAAGAAATTAATAGGAAAGCTACCAGATCAGCAATAGAAGCAGAGAGGTTGCTGTAAGAGTTATCTTGGAGACAGGCTAGGGAGAAAGATGGATGCTTGATAAATGGATAAAGTAGTGCTGAAATGGGCCAGAGGGGAAAATGATAAGAAAGTTACCAGTAACCTCCATGAACCAGTAAGATTTAACTTTTCACCAGGAATATGACTTTATGTCCTAAACTAATGCTACACATACCACATCACACTTCTTAAGGATGTTCCTTCTCATGCAGAGTGTGGTGACACATACCCTGTAATCCCAACACTTGGGATGCTGAGCCAGGCAGATCACAAGTTCAAGTTTAGCATGGGCAATTTAGAGAGACCCTGTCTCAAAATTAAGAATGGCTTGCATATGTAGTTCAGTGCAAAGACTCTGGGTTCAGTCCTGTGTTACAAGTAACAAAAAAAGTGTTCTCTTTGATTTTTATTTAGACTATATGATCTTAACAGGCTCATGTAGTCACTTAATTAAAATTACACAAGCATTTATCTCATCCAGAGGGTCCCAACATTTAGTCTCATTACAATATTATTTCTAATTTCAGCTCTGCTAAATGTCACTATTTAGTTATACCAATTCTCAATTTGCAAAAGAACTTGGTTCTTCCGATCTCATTCTGTGAGATAGAAGTTCTAGGACTCACTGTCAGCTCCATAAAGAACTCTGAATTCTCTCAATTGCTTTGGTCCTGTCACCTTTGGTGTTCAATGTAATATGGTACCTCCATTTCACAGCTTCAAAGTGAAACTTTGAAATAAATTGAGAATCATTATAATTGGCCATTTTCCTGGTGGTGCAGATCACCTTTTTCTTTTACACACACAAAAGAAACCAAGCCCTGACCCATCTCCACCCCATCTTAGCACAGAATACCTTTCAGTGTACAGAAAATCTCCTGAAAGTGAAATTCTGATTGAAAAGCTCTTTTAAAAGTATTTTCAATCAGAATTGCAAATGATGAATTCTGCTAGTTCATAAACTTGAGTCATTTGAATTTTACTGTATTCCAAGAGTAAAGAAAAATGGTGAAGTTAGAATTTGTTGATGATAATCATATGCAGTGTTGGAAGGCCTATTAGGCATCTGGTCTAATCCTTTGGAATGTGTTATTATCCACCTGCCAAACAGCATGCAGGTCAGCATATATCCAAACATTATGTACTTGTAAGAACTTACTACCAATAACACAAGAGCTTTATTTTTCCCCTAGAAAGAACTGAAAACTTGCTCTAAAACTGCTGCTCTCTAGTTCTATGCTCGCATAGGATCATGAAGAATAAGTCCATGGTCCTCTAAATGTGTCAACTCTCCAACTCTAGTAATGGAAACCAAGAATAGTTTTCTAATATCTTTATCTGCTTAGCTGAAAAAGAATCTTAAACATATTTTCGAGAAATTGATGCATTTTCTAGATATCGAAAGAAGAGTCTATAGCTGGGGGAGCAAAAATATATTTTAACCTTTATGAAAGTTATAGAAAATTCTTAGCTTTCTATATGACACAAAATTTAAAATAAACTAAGTTTGTGAACACATGCTAAGTACATCAAATTATTTAAATCTTTTATTATGACAATTGACATATTAAGTGAAAGAAATGACAGTATTATAATAAAACATTTTGAAAGAGAAAGTTACACAGTTAGGCCAGTAGCTATCAAATGGCTTAGGCCCGGCATATAACACTAAAAATTCTGATCAGACTGTAGTGAGACATTGAACATTTCATTAACAAAATTATTGGCACCAGCCACAACATATTTTGGTTGTCACAAGGAATATTATATTTAAACAATTATGCACTGCAATTCTAACACACTAAACTGCAATTTTAACACACTAGGTGTTCATACACTGCAGTTTATTCCTGAAGCTTTAAGCAATCAGGAATTTCTACTCTTTTTATGCGCAAAATTTGTGTTATCAAAATCATGTTTCCAGTTGTTCCCCCCCCACCCCTCACATGCAGTACATTATGTGACAGACAGCACTCCAGTTTCTCTTTCACTAAGAGCATAGTCCTGATTACTTCCAAGTTAGTTTTATGTTACTTTTGGAGTTGCTCTTTAGTACTTGGCTAGAAACAAAGTTCTGAGACCCTATTCCAGGAATAAGTTCTTTTTTTTATGCATAGGAAAATAAAGCATTTTGTATGAGCATGTCTAAAAATCCAAGAGGTGTTCAAATCAAACCCTTCCTGGATCCCAGTTATTACTTTAAAATCAAAGTGAAATCCTAAAATAGGCAATTTACAAATTCTTATTTAGAATTTGTAATCTTCAAGTGGAAATTCATGGTCCTCAGGCTTCTGTCTGGGTGAACATAGCAAAGAAATTGACTTCCCACGTTAGCTGACAATAGATGAAGATAGCTTAGAAATTATGACACTTAGATTATTTTAATTCTTTACAAGAATATACTTCTGCTACAAAGAATAAGAATGATAAAATTATCAGATGGCAAAAATTACTGGCATTTTAAAAAGATATTAATATAACACGGTAAAATATACCATGTAAAAGGCTGCTAAAATCAGCAATTTTACAAGATTTCAAAAATACTTAATAAGGAGGGATGGAATTTGAAACTGATTTCCCTTCTTGACATATTTCAGCAAATATTCATCCCTGTGGAATTAAATCTACTGAATAACCAAATTGAGCAATTCTAGTTTTTTCTTCTTTTACACACAGAAATCAAGCCCTGATCTACCCCGATCCCATCTTAGCACAGGATACCTTTCAGTGTACAGAAAATCTGCAAGTTTTTGGTAAGCTACTATTCAAATACTTTGATCAAGAAGCTACTCTGAAAGAACACCAGACCAACATTGAGAATACCCTAGTTTTCATCACAAAAGTCATGCACTGTCAAATTTGGGCTACTATAGCAGTTCTGATCCTGAAACGCCACATTTTTGCTCATACAAACCCAATCTGTGTGTATAGGTACGTGTCTAACATATATGTGTGGGTATAATTTTCATGCACTGACTTTAAAAGCTTTGGAGACAAGTTTTAGTTTAATTTCAAGGCCTGTTCATGTAACAATACTGTCATGCACCATAACACTACTAAAGGGTAGTAAGATGAAAAAGACAATGGCACAGATTGTTAAATAATTTTAGGTTTAATTACATAATGCACCTGTAGATGTTCTAGCATAAACACAATTGTAAAAATCTACATCCTATTTTAGGGTACTTTCCCACCTCCCATCCCATAAAAGCTGTACAGTTATAAAAAAATGTGACTCAAGCAAAATAAACTTTTTTCTTTTCTTCCTTTTGTTTTTCAACATACAAAATAAATTAAACTATTCAGAAGGTTTTGAGCCATTAACTTCCCCAATGACTGTGTTCTGGCTGTCAGTAAGCATGTCATGCAGGCTCCTGGTCTATGACCAGAACTCAATAAATACAGATCAAACAAAACCTCAAAACACTTAAATTAGATTTTTTTAGAAACCAATGAAAGTCAAGAAATATATAATTAGGGTTAACAATTCCATTCTTAACTTACATAATCCAGTGGCAAAAAGAAAAAGGCAAGTTATTCAGTCCTAGGCATATTTGCTTGCTTGTGTGGTTTGGCAGCCCCCAAAAAACAGAACGAAACAAAAAACCCAAATATAAAATTTTTGGAAAAACGTGTTTTCCTCATTCATAGTATATAAAGGTTTAATAAATTTTTCCCCTTCTAATGATTATGTCTTTTCAGGTGACTTACATATTTAGGATACCTTAAAGTCATTAAGATAAAAATAATGTCTTTATTATTTGAAACTTCTACAATGTGCCAGACAGAATTGGGTTTACAGCCTTTCCCAGAGCAAATTGGTATAAATATGAAATTTTTACAACTGCACTCACATGACCAAAATGAAGGGGGAAAAATCCACTAAAGTGATAGTGACTCTAGAATCAACTTCTGAAAGGGTCTACATGAATAAAAAAGTGTACAGTCTGAAGTGGTTATATAAAAACTACTTTAGAATATGTTTATTTGGGAATGACTCTTCAGTGTTATATTTACTTAGCACTTCTTGGCACGCAAAAATGTTAAATTATTGAAGTGAAACAGTATCAAAATGTATGTTACGTAAGTAAACAAAATAACATAACCCAGTTTAAACATATTGACAGCAAAAGGTCTTGTCTTTCAGGATTGGTATGAATATAGAAAAAAATCAGTTTACTTGCTTTTTCCAAGGAAAGTTTACAGATACACACCGGAAATAGTGGATAAAATAGGAATGGATTGTATCCTGCAAGTTTAATAATTAATCATATTAAGTATAATGAGGACCAGATAGGTTACAGCAGTTTATAGTCTTGGCCTTCTCTGCTTCTTGAAGAAGCAGGAAAATATTTTGAGAATGTCAAACCAACAAGAAAAACTATTTTACTCTAGACTTTCTGTAACTAAATGATATCCTTAATTCTGTATCAGTTGCAATGCAATTATTTGCCTTATTTCTTTTCATAAGAAATTACTGAAGGATTATTCTAATTATGTATATATATATATATATATATATATATATATATATATACACATACACATATATGTATGTATACACTCACTCTCTCTCTCTCTCTCCATTTGAAAAAAGATTGGGGTTTTGGAATACTTGTCCAAAGCTGTGAGTCAACACCATGAATTAAAAACTTGTTTCAATGTGCTGGTAAAGAATGGAGTTCACAACTTTTTCTGAGTATTAAAGTCATACATTCATTAGGGTCTTTAAAGTTGTGTGATAGAATGGTTAACATTTGAGGGGGGTACAGGAAATCAAACTCAGGACCTTGTGAGTGCTAGGCAGGTGCTTATGCTGCTGAGCTATATCCCTGGCCTGCAGTTAACATTTCTGATGCCCATAAACAGAAGACAAATATGAATTCCTTGTGATAAATGAAATTTCCACTTAAAAAAATAACATTTTCTCATTTTAAACCTTGATTGAAGTAATATCCACATTTTTCTTAATATATGTACTGTGCTTAAATATAGGATGGATTCTAGCAACCAAAAATTGAAAATTGGATAATGATACTTTTAATTTTTAAAGTAATATTCTTTGAAATTAATTTGTCCTTAAGTCTTTTTTTCCCAACAACTTCATTAGCTTTCAAAATCTTTGGTTCTTCGGCAGATTTTTTTTAAAGAAAACATTACCAGTAGACATGAATTTATTCGAAATTAAACTGTTTATTCATTCAGTCAACTCTGACCAATTAAAAAAGGATGCCAAAGAAAACCAACCTCAGTATTCTTGAAAATATGTCTGCTGTCATTTTGCAGTAATGTAGCAACAATGAAAAATGTTTTACACTAAACACTATCATCAACACAAATGTACAGACCAGTCTGAGTCTTTCTCATGTATAATATTTCAATTCGAAGCTTTTGTATTGTGGAAGTTTGGCTAATTATCAGATCTTTTGAGAAATTGCAGACTAAACTCTGAAGAGTAAACTACACCTCTCCTTAATATATTTGCTGTAGACTAGTTTGATATTGTGAGCCCAACTTGTATTAAAAAAAGAAAGCTTGTATTATTAAAGGGCTCTACTATATAGCAACTATTATGAATCTAAATCCATGGCTAGTGCCCTAACAAGGATTCAAAATGGTCTATTTGCTACATGAATTACTGCTTTCCTTTATTTTCCTAATGCATGTATTATGTCTTTGGATACAGAATATTTTTCTCTAATTTTTTTAGTATTAACAGACTTTTTCAGAGTAACGATATCTGAGGGATAACAGACTCTGTGGAACTGAATCTAAACCAGGTCTGGGGACTTAGCTTATTAGGAGAGTGCTTGCCTAGCATGCATGAGGCCCTGGGTTTAATCCCCAGCACCACTGCCCACCACCACCACCACTCTCACACACACACCCACACACATACCCACACACACACACAGGGCAGCAGAACTGTATCTACCTGCATAGTGTGTTAATTAGCTTCCTGATTATGTTCTTGGTAGATGAAACATAGCTGATGGTTTATAAGTTTCAGGCAGCACAAGTGGTTTCATAACCCATGTCAGTGGACATTTGCCACAGGGAACACTCAGTCTTTTCTATAAAAATTACCTGGAACTTTATAGAGCAAAAGAGTAAAAAGAACTCCTTATGTCATGTTGAGCATCCCATTAAATTACCTACCCATTTAATGTTAGCAATCACCTGCTTAACTAAGAGGAATTAGTAGGTGGAAGCAGGAGCTGATGGGTCCAGAGGTAGAGACAGGGCACAGAGTTTCTACATCATAGTGGCTTTACCCAGTTGCAGGGCTAAAACAGTACAGGGAGATTGTGGAGCACAAAAGGCCACTTATACATTCAGACCACTTACCTGACACTAGGTAGTAGAAATCCTTTTGCCTGCCTGTTTTAGTATTTTAAAAGGCTTAAAATCCTTAGCTTTCAAATAAATAAAACAAACCAAGCTAGAAAGGACGATTAGTAAGTGAATGTGGCTCCATTTTAGCCTGCGTCACTGCCTTTACATATAAGCCCTTCCCTCCCTTCCAGTGGAACACTGTTTTAAAATAAAAATCACAAGTTAGTTGGAACCACATGCTATTATTGCATCCTATTTTTAGGCTGCTTTCATTATTTTATTTTTTATACAGATACATATACATAGCTAGAATCAAAGAAAATGTTAATGGGCAGGTGCTACAGAACTAAAGTGAAATAAAAAACAACTGAAAAACAGCTATAAACTTTCAGGGCCAACAAGTAAGACTTTAAGGGTAACACTTGTTGAGGAAGGAAAAGTAAGAACATAAAGACTTTAAAGAGGTATATGCAAGTCTAATGCCAGCTTGTAATAAGAGAAGTGCCTTAGTATACATTGACGAGCACATACAATGCTTAATCTGGAAAGAAAAACCAAAATTCCTTGGGCCAGCAGCAGATACAGTGTGTCCATTGCCGGCAACAGACACAACACTGGTACAGAAAAACCCAAATCCCAGGGCAACAGTACTCACAGAAATCATGGGTCAAAGTTTCAGAATGTGACAAGAAAGGATTAATCACAAGTGCTATTCTCTGTACAATGTTATGGCTCTGCCTGAAATCTTTCAGCTGTAACAGAAACTAAAGATAAAAGTTCATATTTTAGTGTCAATCATGTTAAATATTTAGTTACAAACCACCTTTCCTTGAAAGAAAGGGCTTACCTTTCTTTAAAATGCTGAGATGTTTAAAATGGATGTCATGCTTAATTAAGTATATTGGTGGTTCCCACTCAACTCTATGTTGGTTGTGTGATTACTAATGAATTTTAATAGAAGACTAATGATCTAAGGCCAAAACTACATTCAGATCCTGCTAATATATCCAGGCAGATAGGAAATTTAACACATACATACACACAGGCACGCATACACATACACACATGCTAAAACTCAAACTAAAAACCTCCCAAAGGAACTGCTTTGTTTGTAGACTTCAATTTGAAGTAGATACTAAGGGCAAGAATAGACCAGTTAATATTCACCTGAAAATTCCTTCCCAGTCTTCAAATGTGCTAAAATACCATTGTCAGCTTAGCATCTCTTCATGTATGTTACATATAGATGTATTTCCTCAAAATGAATTTCAGATATTTAAAAACAAGTGGCCAGAAGACAAGAGTTGTATTATTGGCAATGTTTATAGTCCACCTAGGTATTAGGAAAGACAACATCAGACAATAGTATATAAAGGCCACTTTCTATTACTTCATAAAGCTATTTTCAACAACTTTGTTACTAGCACAATCTGGTTGTCAAAGCTTCATTATTGATTTTACTGTTCAAATGCTTTTCAGATGATTTTGTTAACAAGAAACTCCACTATAATAGAAACTTATGTTGTAGGGGTTTTTTGTTTTGTTTTTCTTTTTTTTTTTTTAAACAATGGTACGTTCACGGTCTCTTCTTTATTTAAAGTGTGGTAACTCCAATAGTAAACAAGGTGATTTCACGAAGGCTATTACTAAATGACTTATGTAGGATGTTATCTACAATTCTCAAAGAGGCAACAGTTAGGACTCGAGCTTTTAAATGGTCTGTTAATCATCATCTATGCCATGACTGTTTAAATATAATATATTTAATATGAAAAGCTAGAGCACAAGTGCTTTTTCCCACCCCTAAATTCTGTTTTTGGCCCTCATATATATGGAATGCATTCTTATCCACAAAGTCAGGAGAGCTCAGGAAATATAAAGTCAAAAATATACAAATCTTTGTTGTTATTATAATAAGATTTTTTTTCCATGAATGAAATTACCAAGGACCATGAACTTGGAAAAAGAAAATCAAAAGGAATTTACAGCAATTATTTATCTTCAAAGTTCGAAACTGGTCACTTCACAGAAAGACTTCAGAGCTTGTTGAATTTTTTTCTTCTAAAAAGTCATTCTGTAGTGGAGTTTTCTAGGAAAAATTAAACAGCTTTTAATAACTGGCCCGCTGGTGTGAGAGCTACCGTGGAATAAATTAGCACAAAAATGGAAAAAGTCTTACAACTGTTCACTGTTACAGACATAATCAACAAGGTCAGTTACTCTCAAAAGCTCATCTTCTTCCTCTTCTGGTGCCCCTGCCTCCTGCCCACTTGTCCCATTGGAGGCTAGGCTTGCACTGGTTGTGCTGTTGTCCTTGGGTGTTTGAGGCTTCTCAGGTGGCTTGCCAATCAAGTTCTCAATGGCTTTGCCAGGACTCTGTCCATTAGTAGAAGGTAAATCCACTAAGCTATAGTCCAAAGGGCTCCCCACTTTGCCAACATTTTCAAAGTCCTCTTCCTCATCACTTTCTATCCGATAGGACTTCTTGGTAATCTCTTGTGCTGAGGGCAAGACCCTGGGCTGGCTGTCATGGGCATGCTGATCTACATCTCCATGTGTATTGTCACAGCTCTCCTCGTCTGTTTCAATCCGGTGTAGCCGTTTTCGGGATGGTTTGCTTTCCTCTTCCTCCTCATCTGCTTCTGAATATTCATCTGTACTTCGGCCCCGCTTTCGAACTGACCGCTTTGAATCTTTAGCTAGCTCATCGTCTTCAGAGTTCTTGGATGTATAGCTCTCTAGAATAAACAGTACATTTAAGGTATTGGCACACTTAACCATAAATGGATTTAATACTCCTTCCTTACCTCCTTTTCACTCCATGTCCTTTCACCCTATGTCCCTCATATTTAAATATTTTCCTTCAATAACTGGACTGATTTCTCTCAGTAACATAATACCTAAAATGATTTGTAGTGTACTTTTTACCTTGGTTTTTGGAAACAGCAGATTTCCTGGAGAAGAAATCTAATGATCCTTGAATTAAGATAAGGTGATCACACAAACTAGGAAGCTATAATCAGAGAATCATATAAACTAGGCCAACAATCAGGGAATCACATAAACATACAAAGAAAGATTTATACTGGGTAAATCACTCTGCCCATCTAAAACGCTGTGCAAATTTTATGTTATTAAATACCCATGGTAGGTTGAGGCTATCTACTACTATACTTGTAAGTGATCTTACCTAGTTTCATGACTTTGCATACCCATATTACTGATGACTCTTATTTTAGACAATCACTAAATCCTAGACTACATATAAAACTTGCTCCTCAGCGTCTATTTTAAGTAGCACAACAGGTATCTCAAACCTAATTGAATAAAACTGAGCTCCAAAACTTCCCCCTTAAATCTGAGGCATTGTGCTCTCCAGCATCCTAGTTTCTAGGTTATTCTGTTGTTAAAAGTATACATTACTACTATAATTTCTCTTTCATCTAACCCATGCGTAAATCCTTCTGGATTGCCTTTAAGATACCTATAATTTGCCAACTTTTCATTCTTGAGAGACATCATCTCTCACCTGGATTGTTTCAGTAACCTTCTCTGCTAGTCTTGAATTCTCAGTCCTTGTCTGCTTCAATTTATTCATAATACCAGTTACACAACAAATTAAAACCTAACTTGGACCATATCACTAATTTGTTCATAATTCTCTAATTTATTTACTTCTCATTAAGAATAAAATACAGCCTATATAGTGCTCTACTCTGTGCTGTCCACAATGACAGAGTCATATGATTATTTTAATTTTAAATTTAACAAATATTCAGTTCCATAGTCATGGCAGACATATTTAACTTGATCAACAGCCAAATGGGGCTAATGCTTACTGTACTGATCAGCATAAATACAAAATAGTCCCATCACTGCATAAGTTAAATTAAACTGTGGTGCTCTTCATCAAGTTAAATTTGTTTTTCCTCTAAAAAAGCAGGCTGTATGATCTGACAGATTTTCTCAACTTAAAATGGTCGTGGCCATTTTCAGTAAAACTTGATCTGTAAAAAGGTTATGCAGCCAGGTGTGGGAGCGCGAGCCATTAATCCCAGCACTCGGGAGGCTGAGGCAGGAGGCCTGAGCTACAACGTGAGCTTCAGGCCAGCCTGAACTGCATAGTGAGACCCTGTCTCAAAAAGAAACACATGCAAAAAAAGTTTATGCAAAAAAAAGTGCTGTAATTTGCCAACTTGTTCTCTACCATCTGGGACCAAGTGATCTCTGCTGCAGTTTCTCCTCATGTAGCTCTAACAACCTTGGTCCTCTTCTGTTCCCTGAAAATGCCAGGCACAAAATTGCCTCAAGGCCTTCATATTTGTTCTGCTAGTATCACTTTGTTCTTCCTCAGTACTGGGAAATGAACTAAGGCCTTCACAGTAAACTTCATCGTTAGCTCTTTTTAAAAATTTTGCCACAGAGTATTTCTCAGTAGATCACTAACTTGTCCAGGTGAGGTTCAAACTTTCAGTTCTGCCTCAGCCTTCCACAATGCCTGGATTACACGTACACAACTATGTATAACCAGTATTACTCTTGTTTACTGTCGCTTTCTCCCCTGCTAACACTATGCTTTATGAAGCTTAATTTTGTTCTCTGTTGAATTTCCAGAGCTATTAAGGGTCTATTTCAATAAATCATATTTAACGACTAAATTAATGGTTAAACATTTGTTTATTTAACACATGAAGGAAATGTCAAAAAGACATTCATCTTCCTTTGATAGCCTCACATACCCAAATATTTAGCCCCCTTTCTTTCACTCAAACTCTTATTTCATGAAAAAAAATCTTTAAAATAGATCAGATACAATGATGAATTAATTGTAAAGAAAAAAAAGGTAGGAGGACAAGGATTGGGATCCAACTCCCTATGATGAACATAATAATTATGTATTGCAAACAAAAATTAAAATTTAAAAAATCAAATAAACTTAGGAAATGCTCTGTAATAACTACAAAGACTAAATGGATACTACAGGTTCATATTTTAGCCTCCACTGTACTTGTGGTAGGTAGCACTGCCCAAGCTATTACATAAGACAGTTTATGACAAGCAAGGAGAGAGAGATGGCAGACACCTTCATTTGAAACTGTTCTGCTACTCACAGGATAGGAAGTCATTTCGAAATGAGGGCCACGAATAAGATAGCAAAAAAGTGAGGAAAACAATAAACCACAAAGAAGATTTCAGTTTCAATAAAACTTTAAAGCTTGGTATGGTAGAACAAGCCTGTAATCCCAGTACTCAGGATGCTGAAGCAGGAGTTTTTCTGGTTGTGGTGGGGCATGCCTATGAAGGAGCAGGATCACTCCGAGTTCAAGGCCAGCCCAGGCCACAAAGTGAGTATAAGGCCAGCCTGAACTGCACAGCAAAAACTTCTCAAAAAGACAAAAAAACCCGTTAACGAAGAGCTAAACTTGAGGCCAGTCTGGGTTACTCAGTGGCTCAATGCCAGCATGAATTACAAAGATGCTGTCTCAAAAAAAGTAGTAATGATAAAAAATCTGTTACATTGAAGTTCTTAAAAATCAAAATCTTACCAATTGACATTTATTTAAACTATTAGTAGTAACTAGGGACAAAATGGGAATTTATCTCAAAGATAATCTGATTTAATGAATCTTTTAAAAAGAATATAATTACAACCTTGATTTTATGATGTCTATTGCTCCCTTGTCCATATTTCTGTAAATAGGTAGTCTACTACTTACCTTCACTCTCTGAACTGGAAAGTCTACGCTTGTGAACTCGTCTGATTTCTTTACCACGTCGTAAACTCTTCTGGGAACCGTCACTTTCGGAATCTTCTTTGTAGTTAATTTGTCTTTTCTGGTTCCTCCTTGACCGTCTTCGTCGAGTTTCTACAAAATCATCACTAAAATCATCGCTAAAGTCACTTTCTATTAAAAAAAAGAAAAAAGAAAACAAATACAAAATTTAAGTCCATTAAGTAGAATTACAAGTAACACAGGTTATAAAAAATATAAAACATACTTGTGATACAATTTTAGATGAGTAATAGCTGGGTTTTTTGGTCATACTGAGGAGTGAACCCAGAGTCCCATGTATGCTAGTAAGCCCTCTAAAACTAAGCTGTATCCTCAGATCTTATTTTTTTATTTTGAGGTGGTGGTCACTAAATTGCCCAACCTGACCTTGGATTTATAATCCTCCTACTCCAGCATTCCAAGTAACTGCTAAACTTTACAAATACATACTATTACCAATAAATTCTCAAAATAAGAAAATGTTTTAAGGGAGCACTAGTGTGTAACTCGGTGATATAATTCTTCCTTAGCATGTACCTTTCACTTGATGTCTACCCACAAAAAACTTTTAATGTATTTTTTAAAATCTTTATTTACCCTAAGTTACTGGGGCAGGTGCACACCTGACACTATTCTTATTAGTGAGCCGACACCAGAATCTTCTTCCAGATAATTTGCTGTTCCTATTTCAGCTAGTCTCCTAATAATACAACCCTCTAACCAAAAGACACTCATAAACCTACATATTCCAAAGAAGTACAAAATTAGAGTTACAATGTTTACTCTTCTCCATGTGTAATGAAAATCTGTTAAATAAAGCATACAAGTCTATTTACCTCTGAAAGAATTGGTAAATAGCACCATTACCTTGATCAATAAAATAGAATGAGATTATGGCTTTATCAAAGAGCTGTTTTTCAGAAGTGTTCACAAATTACACAGAATTATTACATTCTACTTTCTTATTCTCTAATAATTGTAAACAAGCAAAAGAGCTAGCTATTAAAGTGGTTTTACATACCAAATCTTGGATAAACCAAATCAAAACAGTGACAGTAATATAGCATCCACTGAAAAAATATAAATCCTAAATATATGCTGATATGAGGAAAAAAAAATAAAGGAAAAACTCTTCCTTACAGGACAATGAAAAATTAACATAAAAAGTATGAATAATAAATATGAAAAGGATGACCAAGTTGGAAAATCTGAAATACAATCAAAATACAGTGATTTAAATTTAAAAATTATTACAGTAAAAGCATATTAATTCCTCTCTAAATACTCTCACTTGCTTCAAACACAGCCCATTCTTGCAAATTTCTGAAGCAGTTCTGGAAGTTCTATGAGTGTCTTCAAGTGGTACAAACAAAAACACAAGAAATGACTGCTGCCACGTGCCATCCAAAGGAAAGGCAGGCACATAAAAACATTTTGGAGTGTACTAAGCCACCTTATTCATTGAATCTGGCACAGTACAACTTTTGTTCCTTCCCCAGAGTCAAAATGACCATGAAAAGTAAACATTTTGATATTAAGTTAACAACATTGAGTAGTATGTATTTTCTCAGTGTACTTAATGAAAAACATATAGTTAATAATGAGTCTTAAGGACTCAAAATTTTATTTAGAAGGCTTACAATTGATAGAATTTATAAAACTGTTAATTCTAGAAGTCATCAAAATTTATTGACTTGGTATGAAATGGATACAGTTTAATTTTACCAGAGTCTCTACTGTTCTCCTCAGATTCCTCCTCCTCATCATCATCAGAGTACTTTTTCTTTGGGGTCTTTCTGCGCAAACGTCTGCTTTGCCTCATTGGCCGGGAGGGGTGTCGCCTTAGTCTGCGGCTACAGAAATCAGTGTCACTGTCCTCATTAGATGGTGGATCTTCTTCACTTTCATCTAGGTTTTCATCAGATACGACAAATTCATCCTGAGATCTGTCCAAAGAAAAATGTAAATTATGACACATTTAGAACCAAGAACACATTTTTGAACAACTGAATTCAAATGAGTGCACGGAAAGGTTAAGAACTGTTTACTATAATATAGCTAAATTATCATATCAGTATCTTTTTACAAAATGCAAAGTGTCTTGCTACCTTTCTCTCTCAGGCATACCTGTGAAGATCAACTGATGACTATTTTTTTTTTGGAGACAAGATCTTCCTATTTGATCCAGACTGGCCTCAAAACTTGTGATCCTCCCTGCCTATGCCTGGGTGTTAGATTATAACAAGCCAGTGATATCTGGCTACTACTGATTTTTTATACATAAGTTACATTAGTCTCTTGCAATGTCCTCAATATACTAAAATTCAGCCAAGTCCAAACCCAAATTCATTATTTTCCAACTTACTCCTCTTTTATTTCTCGGCTTGGTATCTGGTGTTATCACCATCCCGTAACTAAAACGTCACACTTGATACTGCATTTAACCTAATTTTCCTTTTTTCATTTCTTATATCTAAACCCTTCATTGGCCTTTCATCATTTTCAGGACAAAGCCAAAATTGTTACACATGACAAATAAAACATTCCATAACGTGCTTTGATTTTATGTTCTAACCAATAGGACCCCCCACCCCCGCCGCAACAGGACATTTTCTACTTCATCCTCATACTCTTGCTATCCTAAGCCAGCAGGACTTTCCCAATTAATCCATGACATTTGATAGCATGCTGCTTTGTATCTCCTCTGCTTACAAGGCCTCCTTCCCTATCCTGCTTCTAATCTCAAACTCAATGATCCACCACAACATTCACAGCTTTACTTCTGGGAAACTTCTACGGATCTCTTGGGTTGAGCCAATTATTCTCATTTATGTTTTACCTGAATTTAGGTAGAATGACTTTCTATCTCCACTAACAATGTGAAAAGTGTAACTCTGCAGTATTGTTTTAGTGCTTACTCTACACAGAAGCCTTCCCTGACCATCCACATTGGCTTACATGCCCAACCCCAACCTCTATAGGTCTCGCTATTATTGACCACTTACTGGTATACTTCTCATATTTGAATGGGAACTGCATCAACCTAGTAACTAAAAGTAGCACAAGAGATAAAGCTCTCAAAAAACAAAAGTTTAATTGTAGTTAATCAAACTTCATTGTGCATGTTACTGCATATTTGAACCCATTTCATAGTTGGCTACATTGCCAGCCATTTTTTATTTTTTTACTTTGTAACAAGATTTTGCCAAGTTACCAAGCTGCCCAGCATGAGCTCAAACTTGTAATGTTCCTGCATCAGCCAACAAGGGTTATAGGCATGCAACATCATGCATGGGTATAATTTTGAATTTTTTCTTTTGGTGGTAATGGAGTATGTACTCAGGGCCCTCCCACTGAGCTGTACCTCCAGGTCTTTTTATTTTGAAAGTTTTTTTTTTTTTTTTTCCCTTTATCGGTACTGGGGATTGAACTCAAGACTGCCTGCTTGCAAGGCAGGTACTTGTGCCGCTGAGCTAAATCCGCAGCCCCCTTGAAACAGAGTCTTGCTAAGTCATAGGATTCCCCAGTGAACTTGCAATTTTCTGCCTCAGCCACACAAGGTGCTGGGATTACAGGTATGTGCCACCAAGCCAGCTATTGAATACTAAAGCAATCATATACCTAGTTTTTATTTTGCTCTAATAAAGAACCAGAATCAGCACTGTGAATCTGCTTTATATACCTTGAAAGTAAAAAGACTGTCAAGGTACACCAAAAGTAGACCTACTGCAGCATGGCCAAAGCTTTCTGCCTCCTCAGCTTTACTGAAACTGTTATCTACAAAACAGGGTCAAGCTGGGAGTAGTGGTGCACACCTGTAATCCCAGCATTCAGGAGGCTGAGGCAGGAGCATTCCCATGAGTCCAAGGTCAGACTGAACCATATAGCGAGACCCTGTCTCAAAGAAGACCAAAAACCCGGGCTGGGGATTTAGCTCAGCTGTGTAAATGCTTGCCTGGCAAGCACAAAATCTCGAGTTCAATCCCTGATACCATAAAAAAAAAAAAAAAAAAAGAAGAAGAAGAACAAGAAAATGAAAAAGAAAAGAGGGTCAGTGGCAGACCACACACCCATCACTGATCTTGAATTCATCTTCACTCTCTTCTTCATCCAGGTTGCTATCACTGTCCAAATCATTTAGACGCCGGCGTTTCTTCCGTCGAGCAGCAGCTGCTCTCTGAGGTCGTTTATTTTCTTTTCTTTCTTCATCTAAGATAGTGGATATGTCTTTCCCACGGTGACCTGTGATGGTGGAAATGTCTTTTCCTCGGCCAACTCCTGAGGTGGAGAAATGACCATGCTTATTAAATCTTCCCCTTGATTTACAAACATCCTGAAAATATGATTCCCAGGAACAAGACAAGGATGTCCACTATTACCACTCTTATTCAATTTAGTTAGCTGTGGGAACTTTAGCCAGAGCAATTAGACAAGACTAAGAAATAAAAGGAATAATCATAGGAAAGGAAGAAGTTAAATTATCACTATTAAAGGATGACATGATACTCTACATAAAAGGTCCCAAAACTTCTACCAAGAGACTTCTAGATTTAATAACCCAATGCAGTAATGTAGCTAGTTACAAAGTCAACACTCAAAAATCAATACACACATAACAAGTTCACTGAGAGAGAAATTAGGGTAACAACACTTTTCAGAATAGCATCCCAAAATAGAATACCTAGACATCAATAAAGGAAGGACCTCTACATTGAAAACTACAGTTCTCTGAAAAAGATTGAAGAGAATATCAAAAAATGCAAATATATCCCTTTTTCTTGGGTAGTGAAAATGGCCATACTTTCAAAAATAATATTCTTATCAAAATTCCACCAGCATACCTCGCAGAATTAGAGAAAATCCTAAAATTTATTTGAAACCATAAGAAACTAACAATAACAAAGGTAATTCTAGGAATCAAAGGCAAGGCAAGAGACATCACAGTCCCTGACTAGAAATTATTTAGTACTGACAAAACAAACAAACAAACAAACAAACAAACAAAAAACCCTGATCAACTGTTAGTATCATACAGAATCAACAATGGAATCTCGTTTTATTAAAAATCTGCACAGGAAGATAAACCACCAACATAGTGGACATAACCCACAGTGTGGGGAAAACTTCTGCCAACTGTTCCTCAGACAAAGTATTACTATCTAGAATATATAAAGAACTTTAAAAAAAATCAGATCACCCCTAAATTTTTTTTAATTTTGTGGAAAAAAAGGTAAAACACAATTTCTTAAGATGATACGAGAGTAAGAACAGTTAATAAACTGCCCATTATCTTTAAAGTAGTTACTCAGAGTACAAGATATGGGCATAAAAAATTCTCCAATCAATACTCATGCATACCTTTCTTTTCTGTGAACTAGGAGACACAAATAGTGTGACTTGCATTTTTCTTTTTCCCTTCATTCCACTCCACTTTCTCCATTTAGTTCCTTTTTCCTTTTTTAACAATTTCTTTCCATTTCACAATATTTGCTGTATATTTTAGACTTTACTTACTTTTTCAGTTTCTCCTATCAGGGAGACAATATGGTATTTGCCCATGTCAGTCTGATTTATCTCATTAAAGAATATGGTCTCAAGTTGCATTCATTTACCTATACATCTCAAGCTCATCCTTCTTTATAGCTGAATAGTACTCCATTATATAAAAATACCACATCTTTTTTATCTATTCTTCAGCTGATAGGCATTTGGGTTATTTCCAGGACTTAGCTATTACAAATTGTGCTACTATAAACACTGGTGCACAGATGTCACTGTAGTATGATATTTTTAATTCTTTTTAGGGGGAGGATTTTGTTGAGACAGAGTCTCACTATGCAGATGAACTTGAGCTGACTTTGTAGCCCAGACTGGTCTTGAACTTACAACAATCCTTCTGCCTCAGCACCCCTTACCCCTGAGTGCTGGGATTACAAGTGTGCTCTACCATGCCAGGCTGATATTTTTAATTCTGGGAAGCTACAAGGGGATAGCTGGGTCAAATGGATCCTCTAATCATATTTTTGAGGCCTCTCCACACTGATTTCCACAGTGGCTGCACCAGTCTACAACACTCCCACCAGCAGTGGAAAAGGGTTCCTTATCCTCACAGCCTCACCAGCATTTGCTATTGGTTGATTTCTTGCTAATAGCCATTCTGTCCAGGGTGAGATAGGATCTCAGCATTGTTTTAATTTACATCTCTCGAATAATCAGTAATGTTGAACATTTTTTCATATATTTATTTTCTGTTTGTACTTCTTCATCCAAGAAGTGTGTATTTATCTCAGATACTCATTTTTTGATTGGGTCTTGATTGACCAATGCTGTGCAACGTTTTTTCATATATTTATTTGCCATTTATATTTCTTTCTCTGCTCATTTTTGGATTGAGGTCTCCTAAATTTAAAAATCCAACCCAAAAACGGGTATTTGTAATGTACACACACTTCTCAGATGAACAAGTACAAACAGCAAATAAATATATGAAAAAAAATGTTCAAAATCAACAGTCATTCAAGAGATGTAGATTAAACCAATGCTGAGATCCTATCTCACCCTGGGCAGAACTGCTGCTATCAAGAAATCAACCAATAACAAATGCTGGTGAGGCTGTGGGGGAAAAGGAACCATTTTCTACTGTTAGGAGTGTAGACTGGGGCAACTCACTCTGCAAATCAGTGTAGATTCCTCAAAAATCTAGGAATACAAGTTTCATTTGATCCAGCTATTCCCCTTCTTGGTATCTTATCAAAAGAATTAAAAGCATCATACCACAGCAATATACATATAGTAGCACAGTTTGCAATACCCAAATCCTGGAAACCAAATGCCCATCAACTGATGAATGGACAGAGCAGATGTGGGTTTTTTAATGCAACAGAGTACTACTCTGCCATAAAGAAGGATATGCTTGAGGCACTTTTGGGTAAATGGATGCACTCTTAGTGAAATAAACCAGAAACGTTTAAATATATTGTTTCTCTGGTGCAAGAAACCGAAATAAGGACTGAAAGTAAATAACCAAAATGTATATAACAGGTGTTGTGAAATACAAGAAAATGTGCAAATAGCTAGGGAAACAGTGGAGGGGAAGGAGTAAAGGAAAAAAGGGAAAAGCAAAAAGAGCAAAGAAGAAATGGAAAATAAACTTTTGTAAATGGAAAGGGAGGAGGGGTTGAAGATAGGGTAGGAAAATGGGATAATACTTCTCTATGACAAATGTGATCATTATGTATACCAAAAATGTACCAATAAAGCATGATTGAAAAAACCCAGATATGTTGATTCAAGTGACAGAAATGTCATCAAGACAGAGTTAGGGAGAAAAAAAAAAAGGACACAGTTAGGATTTATAATCCTAGAGTTTATAATACTGAATTGAACTCATAATGTAGAGAAGCTCATTTTTTGTACTAATTCATATAATACTTTTTTGGGGTGGCACTGTGGATATATGTCATTCAGATTTTTTTTAGTACACTCAAGTTATACAATCATCATCACTAAGCAATTCCTGAATATTTCTATCACCCCAAAAACCTACTATTCGCAGTGACTAAACAGAAATCTCTAGAAAGAAGCCAAATAATTTTTCAGGTACAGAAATGTCATCAAGACATTCCTAAATTATGTTTGTAGGACAGAAAAAATGGGTAAGTGTGTAAAAGACATTTCTGGCAAAACAGGTGACATGAGTTCCATTATAAAATATTAATTTTTCCAGAGCTTTTATAATAACCAAGTAGAAGCAGAATGTTCCCACTTTGGAGCACTATACAGTACTTTCAACCAATAAATTCCTTCAAATACTCTAATGTGATGTTTGAAGAGTATGAAATAAGTAAATGAATTTTTAATGGGTTATTTTAAATAGTCTTCAAATTGTGATTATCCAGAAATTTTAAGACGTTGTGTTCTCAAAAAACCACAGAAAAGTTTCATTAGTACTCTCTTTGAAACCAGAGTAAGTAATTTGAGAACTTGAAATAAATTGTTGGCAGAGTTACACAACAAAATGTGATAAAACACTTACCTCCTCCATCAGCCTCTTTGATATCGTCTTCTATAGCTTCATCAATTGCTTCATCAAACTCATCAAATCTAAGATAAACAAATGATCACATTACAGTCTGTTCTGGCACGTACCTGTATTTATATTTACTTACTGGGTGCTACTGTAGAGTGAACATAAGACCTTCACACAGAGCTATCTCAAGGCTTCTCTTGAAATACAGTCTTGCTTAGTCTCTTAAATGCCCAAAACTCAACTCATAATTCTCCTGCTTCAGTGCTGAGATTATGGGTATATAATCCCATGCCCTGCTCTGGGTTTGAACTTTTATTTTTGTTACGGTGTTTGTTTGAGACACGGTCTTGCTATGTAATTCAGGCTGGCCTTGAACTCACTATGTAGCTCACACTGGCGAGTCTCCTGCCTTAGCATACCAAATTCTGGGATTATAGATGTGTAATACCATACCTGGCTGGTTCCTGATTTTTAAAAATGAGCTTTCTGCTATGGTATGACTATTTGTGTTGACTCAAAATTCAAAATTTGAAATCCTAACTATTAAAGCAATGGTATTAGGAAGTGGGGCCCTCAATAATTACATTAATCGGGGCTGGGGATTTAGCTTAACGGCATAAGCACCTGTCTTGCAAGCAGGCAGTCGTGAGTTTGATTCCCAGTACTGATTAAAAAAAACCAAAAATTACATTAATGTTTTCATGAAAAGAGGGCAAAGAGGGACCCCTTCTACCATGTGAGGTTACAGTGACAAGAGCCATACGTGAGGAAACAGATAACAGATCTACCCCAGAGTTTCAATGCTTTTTCTATTGGGAGAAAACAAAGCCAGAAGCACAATTTATAAAAAATAAATTGTGTTGTTTATAAGCTATCCAGCTTGTGGTATTTTGTGATAACAACCAAAATGAAATAAGTAGAGACACTTTTTTTTTTTAATATACAGTGCTGGTATTGAACCCTGGGTCTTAAGTGAGGCAAGTACCACTGGCTTTATAACCCTAGCCCATCAAAAAGCCTTTAAAAAGGGACAAATTAAGTATTTTAGGCTTTACAGCTTATACAATCTTTGTAATAACTACTGAATAGGCCATTGCAATACAGAAGCAAGCACAGACAGTATATAAGAAAATGAGTATGGTTGTATTCCAACTTTAATTACATGTAATTTTCATAAAATATTGTCATTCTCTCACTGTCCTCCTTTGTGGTACTGGGGAATGGACCCAGAGCCTTTACACCAAGTTATAATCTCTCTGCCTCAGTCTGCCAAAATGGTGGGATTACAGGAATGTGTTGTTATGCCTGGCTATTGTTCTTGTTATTATTATTCATCTTATTATTCTTTTTTCAATCATTTATAAACATAAAACCCATTCTTAGGTCCCAGCCAGGTTGAACAAAACTAGCAGTGAACTGGATTTGGCCTGAGGCCCATCCCAAATTATATGAATCACATGGCAACGTAAATTGAACAGTATTACTGTTATATAAATAATACTGTTAGGATTATTATTGTAAAATGAAATGTGTATTTTATTACTAAAGTTCATATACCAATGATCAAAAGTACAACTAGTTAAATTTACTTCAAAGGCTCACTCTTCTGACTTAAAAGGTACAAGACTAAATAATCCGTAAGATTTTCTTATACATAAAGCTCCCGTGAGCTGGCCATGGTGCCACATACCTGTAATCTCAGCTACTCATGAAACTGAGGCAGGAAGATTTTGAGTTCAAGGTCAGCATAGGCAGTTTAGCGAGATGCCATCTCAAAAAATAAATTAAAAAAAAAGTTCCCAAGTTGTTCTACTATATAGACCATAACCATAAAGTATTTTTGTTAGGAATTTTTTATTCCTACTTTGGGAAAAGTATTTATTGCTAATTTTTACATTTTCTTTCATAAAGTACCAGTTTGGATACTTTGCTCAATTTTTAAGCTAGTGTGTTTATCTTTATTTACCAATTTATAAAATTTTTTTGTATTTAGCTGGGGATATGGCCCAGTGACACAAGTGCCTGCCTGGCAAGTGCAAAGTTCCGAGTTCAATTCCTAATACCAAACACGAAAACAATTTTTTTCTGTATTAAAGACTATGAACTCTTAGCCTTTGCAAATTTTGTTTTGTTTTTACACTCAGCACTTATGATGAAAAAAAAAATTTTAAGAAAGAAAAACTGAAATCTTGTTCTACTAGCTTTGTAATTATGCCATTACATGTATGGTGAGGCCCCTTTGCTGCCCACTGCCCTCTAATGAACAAAAACTCTTATCAGGTTCCAGTCTTTTAAAACAGATGAAACTGTACTTTTGCTTAACAGATTTGCTTAATACATTCCATAACAACAACAACAACAACAGCAACAGAGGTATTCTTATCCTCAGCAATAGTGTACTGCCTGAATATATGCTGCAATTCCTTGTAACCATCATGTGACAAAAAAACTATATTTCTACCGTGAAAAAAACTGTATTCATTGCATTTTATTAAGTTCAAAAGCTAATTCCTTAAAATTCTACTCTTTACCCATTTTCTTTTGTAAATGCTCATTTTTCTTAGTTTTTATTTTTATGCAATCAAATATTTTTCCATGATTCTTTCTAATTTTGGTATTATGCTTCAAGTTACTCCTTATATAAGATTATATGCCTTCCTTAAATCTTTTTGAGTAGTAGAGTATGAACAATGCACCACACAATATATTTTATGCTTAAAATTTTTACTATAGCTTCTTATATTACCATTATACAACTTTAGAGTTGAAAGGAATCATCTGAAAGGATAATCCATCATCACAGACGAGGCAACCAAGAAAGCAGATATAGATTACCCAAAGACATATGGCAGTAAGTGTACAGTGAAGATTATACTTTTAATCTTTTGATCCCCAATCTAGTGCTTCCTGCAGTTAAGAATCAAGTCGACAATTATTAAATGATGATAGTGATAAATTTCTTAATAAAATCTGTGCTTTTCTATCCACAATAATATCAGGATTAGAAGACAACATAATCATTTCTACTACAATACGTGCTTTAAAAATGCCAACTTGAAAAAATAAAAATGTGAATTTAGCCGGGTATGGCCCACTCCTATAATCCCAGCACTCAGGAGGCTGAGGCAGGAGGTTCTTTGCAAATTTGAGACCAGCCTCAACTAAAAAGTGAGCCCAAGGCCAGTCTGAACCATATAGTGAGAGCCTGTCTCAAGAAGACACCCCCAAAAAGGCAAATTTGTTCAGTGTGACTGACATAAAATAATTTTAACTATTTGTCATAGGAGTTAATGTACATAGGAGTTGATTTGTCAGAAACAGGAAGTGAATACAAAAACCTGCACCTAGCAGAACAAAGCTGCTGAAGAATACACAAAATACGTGCATTTAAAAATATTTCTGCTTGATTTCAGATGCTTCTTTCATCACATCATAATTTATAAACCATAACCATTCACTTCTACAAACTTTTTTCAAAGCCAAATAACATTTATTGTAGTATTTATATATTTCTTAATCATTTCATTTATATGACAAATATCAGTCTCACTTTTACTAAGTTCATATCTTGTAAAAATTTATATCGACTTTGTCTTTCTTTTTTATTGAGGCACAGTCTCATGATGTACTTCAGGCTTGTCTTGAAGTTACTATGTAGACCAGGCTGGCCTCAAACTGACAGTGGTTCCCTTGCCTCAGCCTCCTGACTGCTGGGATTACAGATGTGTGTCACTTGTTTTTCTTTTTTAATAATAAAAAATTAATTTATTATTTGAATGAAACATTGTGATTTAGTGGGAAGAATATTAGAAGAAACAATCAAATGATAAGTTTTAATAGGCTAAGCTACTAATGGAGTGATAATGGAAAAAATATTTCCTTTTGGTCTCTATGGCAGCAAAAGGACGTCAGTTTGCATTTGTTAAGTTAGTATGTATTGAGGTACATTATGCCAGGTGTAAAGTACACAAGGAAGTATGAGATAAACTTTTATACTAATAATCTAGTCAGGAAGAGAAACATTAAATGAAATAATTTTAATCTCATAAGATACTTCAAAGAGAAAAATTGGTTGGTATGAGAGTAAAGGTGCGATTTGATCTAACACAGGTTAACAAAATGAAAGTGAGATGAAAATTACAAACAAAGCAGAAAGAACATGCAGAGATTATAAGACGACAGTGTAGTGACAGTGGGTCAGGAAAAATGTGGATGAGATGAAGCTGGAAAGATAAGCAGAGATCAGACTATGTGGGGCACTGCAAACCTTCTCTCTCTCTCTCTTTCTTTCTCTCTCTCTCTCTCTCACTCACTTTGAGACAAGGTCTTTCTGTCTAGTTCAGGTTGGCCTTGAACTAAGCAGAATCCAGGCTAGTTCATGAATCTCTCCCCACTCTGGCCTGAGGATATTTGGAAAAGATAACTGCTCCAAAATTCTATGACTCTAAAAATCAAAGGTAAATTATTATTACTCAAGTGTTCCACATTTACAGATTCTACAAACTGCTGATTGAAAATATTAGGGAAAAATCTGTGCCTACACTGAATACACATTTTTTCCCCTGTTATTATTCCTTAAACAATACAGTAAAACAATCACCTAATACATTTACATTGCACTAGGTATTATAAGTGATCTAAAGGCAGTTCAAATAGAAGATGTGATCATTATAAGTGAGTACTACTTTTATACACGGAACATGAGTACCTGCAAATTTTGGTATCCTTGGGAGTCCTGGATATTTTTCTTCTTTTTTGCAGTGCTAAGTACCACACAAGCTCTGCCACTGAACTACATTCTCAGATCCTAGAATCAGTTTCCTGAAGATACCAACCGATAGCTGTGTATACAACTACTAATAATCACTGTGAAGGGAAAGCCAAATGCTTCTATGTCATGGTATTTGTAAAAATATTTTATACACATTGACTATAGTCATTTCCATATATTTCATACCTGTAGCTTATACATTTCCGTGTTCTTGTCGACCTTCTTTCAAGCAAATTTGCTTTAGATTTTTTTGAATCTTTCTTCTTTTCTTCTTGATCTTCAGAAAAATCTGGTTCCTTAAAAAATAGTCAAGTGTATATAGATATAACAGAATAAAGTTTCTTGGAATTAACAGTTCTATAAAATCCATCTAGGCACCAATGTTCAAGGTTTGAAAAAGTTTGAGACTACCCTCCCCAAACAGAATACACACAGAAATACTAATTCCTATAGAGATTAAACAAGGAATACTTGTAATCAAAGGATTAAACACGTCTCTATTAAAATTCTTATACTACTATGAGACTACAATTACTTGTGCTCTCTCGCTGATAAAACTTTTTAACTAATAACTAAATCTGACACACATAAACACTCAATAAATATGTATACTTAGTGAATGAAATAATTTATTTGAAAGGTAGTTAAGCTGATGAAAAATAACATGACAAACTACTTAAGCCTGTGCAATAACTGATTACAAAACCTGAACAAAAAAGATGTTTATGAAGAAAACATCTTCAACTGAAAAGCTAAGATCCATGTATTTTCACTCACAAGTAGCCTTTTTAATTAGACTAAAAAATGTAAGACAACAGTAATTCTTCAAACCAAACCATGAGGAGGAGTACAAATTAAAGGTTCAATTACTCCTAAAGCAGGAAATTCAGAAGTGAGATCTTCTTCAACTATTCTTTTAATCATTTTACATAAACTGCCAGGCATGGTGGAACACATCTGTAATTCTAGCACTTGAGAGGCTAAGGCAGGAACATTGCTCTGAGTTCTAGACCAGCTTGGGCTATATGGCAAGTTCAAGGACAGCCTGAACTATAAAAACCCTATCTCAACAAACATAAAATCATTTTACAAAAAGGATAAACATGATTACCCAGATTGGGTTAAAAAATAACATATATTCCAAAGGAATGAGCTATAAATTTAATGTGGATGTGATACAACATTTTTAGGTTATCTGTCTGTCTACACATAACATCAATGATGAAGGACTATGGGCAATCTCACTAAGGTCTTAAACTTTTGCTTTTAATAAAACAGGTATATATTTAAAACTAATCACATTATATAAGGTAGGCTAAATTTTAGAACCATCACAGCAGTCTTTCCTTTAAAAATTAGTATAAACCAGAAACTTACTTGTGGAGGAATGATGTTTTCAATACTGATACCCACATATACCAAGCGTTCTTTCCTTTAAATAAAAGAACAAATATATACAAAGTAAGATTTGTTAAAAAATAAAACTGCTATGAAAATATCACTAATGCATACAATAACCAAATTGTAAATTTCATGATACTCAAAAACTAAGTTACAAACATATAAGCTATTATTTGTACAACAATACAGTATTAATATTTTGGGAAGGACTAAATTTTCTAAAGAAATGGTCGCTAATTTTTCTGAACTGACTTACACTAGTGAAATAAAACCTTTAAACAGAGACGAAGAAGCTTCTTGAAAAGTCCATGCTGCAACTCATCCCTCCCCAATATTGGGGACTGAACCTAGGGTGTTTCAGTTATCTTTTTTATTGCCCAGACAAAATATCCAACACCCAAAGTTAAAGAAGGAAAGGTTTACTGTATGTCAGGATGTAAGGGTTTCACTAACAGCTGGTGGGCTCCCAGGCAGTGTGGTATCTCAAAGGAGAAACAGTTCATGTGGCAGGAGGCAGTAAGGCAGCAAAAGCAGCAAGGCCGCAAAGCAGCAGATACTCACAGTAGCCCTGTTTCTACCCACTCACACTCACAGCATTCCCTTATCCACACCCAGAATTATGCCAAACACTCGACCCCAAAATCACACGCTTCGTCTCAGCATCACACACACTAGACTCAGCCACCTCTGACTGAGCCCCACTTATGACTGCGTAAGGCTTTGGGGAGCTCTTTAGACATAAGCCATAACACAGAGCTTTATCTCCAGTCTTTTACTAATTTTGTAGTTTTGAGATACAGGTGTTGCTAAGTTGTTAAACTGCACAGGCTAAGTTTCAACTTGTTGTCAGTCCTTTTGCGTAAGCCATCCTGAGTGGTAGGATTACAAGTATGTGCCACCACATCCAACTGTCATGATGTAGCTTGATTACATTATTAGATAGAAAGCCAACTTTGATTGAAATAAGGTATTTTTAATGTTAGAATACTTTTTAATTAATATTGTATGTATATACACAATTATAATTTTATAAATATCACTATAAACAGAATTAAATTGTGCATAACAAAACCTTTTCAAAATCCCAGACTAAGACGACTCACTCTTTGCTGTAAAGATAAAAAGCAATGTGGAGATATGGCTCTGCATTCTACATTGCCACAATGAAGGTTAAAGCCAGAAAACTGACCATCAATAACGTTTCCAGTTTATTTCCAAAAACAGAATGTTATGACTTTAGTTCAATAAATCTTACATAACAGCTACATTAGGAGCTTTTTCTCACTTTTGCCAGGTTAATCCCACATAATAAAGACAGATGAATTCTGACATGCTAGGATATGTTAAAATGAAATAGTAACAACTCTTCTTTCCTTTACTTGTAATATCCCTCCTGGAGGGAAATTAATGTATCTCCTTGTCTTAATCGTTTTAGACTTCAACCTTTACTGCCCAAATGTGTTAGCATTTGAGGACAGTGAAAAAAGGCCTGGGAGAAACAATTTAAAGGGAAGGTCTATTCTGGCACAGTTTCAGAAGTGTTTGACCATGGTTCCACTGCTTTTGGGCCTATGGTGAAAGAGTAAGTCAGAGAAAAATGCTTACACCATGGGCTATGAACTCAAGAACAGATTAATAAGCTTGAATGAGCTATAAGGAGCTGGGGGCCAGGTGCAGCACACAAGTTGCAGGAGCTGTATCTTTGAAGGGCCTCTCTCCCCGCTTCTTCTCTAGCTTTTTCTTTCTTGGATTCTGAGCTGCCATGAGGTAAACAGCTTTCCTCTACCACACCATTCCACCATAATGCTCAACCTTACCTCAGGCCTGGTGGACTATGGACTGAAACCTCTGAAATCTAACACACCTATGAACCCTTGACTTACTAACAAGAATCTCACAGAAAGGCTGTGATAGTATTAAAGAATTCCATAGACAGGTTATGAAGCTACTAAAGAAAAACTGTCATGTATGAATATGATATATTAATTTTAATAAAAACTCAATGAAAGATAATAGTGCTAGCTAAAAGAAGAAATACTCCAAGGAAGACTTCATGGCTTCAACTACCTCTTATTAAATATGTGTGACACATATAATTAAAAATGTGATTTTTAGAATGTGATTGAAAAGTATGGTGAATGTTTAACACACACATACACATACACGCACTGCCATAAAGCCCCCTCAAAATACTCCCTTGTCCCTAGAAACACATTTATCCTAACATTCTTGCCAGTTTCTCAAAGTCTTGCAAATGTCTTTGGGTGTGCTGTTGTGGCTGACTCGATATCCAAAATATTTACTTTTATGGTCATTTTGATTTCAAGAAATAAGCCAGAAGTCTCACGGTACCAGACTCAGTAAGGTAGATGAGGATACTCCTTAACGTTTTTACAAGCCCACTTTTCCCACTGGATGGCAGTGATGGCCAACCTTTTAGAACTTTCAATGAAAAAACATGGTCAGCCGCAGCATGCATGCCATGTGTTTGCCATCACCAATAAAAGTGGAAAGGATACCTAATAAAACTTAACTGCAAAAAGGTAAAAAACAAAATAAGGGCAAAGACGTTCTTGTGCTATGAATATGAGTAAGGTTCCAAGCTGCTAGGATGAGTGCTAGGGAAGTTATTTCATAGGTTTTTAAAAGAATAAATGAAACTACACATTAAAAAATAGATGAAACCACATATATTTACAGTTAATAAACATTTATTTTAGAAACATCTACTTTACTACTTAGAAATACTAAAATTCATGTATCTATAATGACATCTAAACCTGTATCTATTTCCTAGGAGTTACAGTAACCAGAGCTTTGTCAACCAGATTTACAATGGCAAACAAGACAGTCAACTAATTCACATGGGTCTTCAGGCAATAGTAACTTTGTTCTCCTTTCTATCACAGACTTATCTAGAGCTCAGTAGATGATTTAAAAGCATAGCGATCTCTTTTTAGAAATGATGACATTTTAAATAAAGATTAGCAACATTACTGCAACATCCTAGCTCTAATTCCATCTCTCCTTCAAGAGGAAGCAGAGAAATACTATTCAATTTCTAAGGATGGGTATATTTGAGCAAGATTGAGGCAAAGGAAAATTGAAATCATTATTTCAGATTTAATTTGAAGCTTTGTTAGATATGTTCCAGTATAAAAAATAAAAATGGGAGAAACCCAGAACATCAAACTAGTTCTAATAAACAGAGCACCGTAGGGTACACCTGCAAAGCCCAGCATTTAGGACACTGAGGGAGGAGGATCAGTGCAATTTAAGGCCAGCTTTCTTGAACTGCAAAGTGACACACATCCTCAAAAAACAAAGCAAATTTAGGAGGTGGCAGTAATTAACGGTGACTTTTGCCTGGTGCAAAACGAGATAACAGAGTTAGCTGAATGCCTAAAGGCAAACTAAATTTCAGGAGACACACTATGAGTGAAAGGATATAAGTGTAAAGAGTAGCAAATGAAAGCAATAAAACCAATCTAGAGGCATAACTTAGATTTTCTTATACTATACTAGAGTTACAAACGGATAATAAGGAACACCATTACTCCTGGTATTTTGGGAAGCTGAGACAAAAGGAATCAAGTTAAAGCAAGACTGTCTCAAAAGGCTGAAAGTGTAGCTCAGCATAAAGGTCCTAGGTTCAATTCACAGTACTGCAAAACTACTCATGGAAAACAACACTGAAAAAGCAAAACAAATCATGTCTAACAAATCTACCATACTGTAATAAAGACTGCCCTAGTGGAGTTCTCACTTAGGTTCTTACACTATATATTGCCAACAACACCACAACTATAATTCTTTTTTTTATTACTAATGCTTGTTTTTGTTTTAATGAAGTAAATATCATTTTTCCTACTTGGATGGCTCCCTAAATGCTTACAGAGAGTAACTCAAAAATCCCATAGTCAGGTATGCAAAGCTGTTTGCAATTTGGATTCACTCAACTTTTTAGAGGTATAGCCCTACTTTTTTCCCATCCTTGATTTTACTCTGCTTTAGCTTGTGTCTGTGCTCAAAATATTCCTGCTGGAATATTTCTTTTCTGTAAGTCAATATGCCGTAACTTTATTTTGCAAAGTGTTCTTGAAAACTCCAACTCCTAGGAAAACTAATACGGTCTCTACAATGTCCTTGCATTGTTTTGAATATACTTCAGTTTTTCTCTTTTATTACATCATTGGTTCATGCATTTGGATTTTCTCATACAATGTGAGTTTTATATAAGCAAGAACTTTGGTTTATTCATCTTTTCAATTTGGTATAGTAGCCATAAATAATGTGTAGAAACAGACTAAATATTAATTAGTCTGAGTGTGGTGGCGCATGCCTGTAATCTCAGCATGTGGAAGGCTGAACATAAAGCATCGTTGTGAGTTCAAGGCCAATCTGAACTACACAGCGAGACCTTGGGGGGAGGAAGGAGGAAGGGGGAGATAGACACAGAGACAGAGAGAAATAGAGAGAAAATAAATTTACTATCTTGATTCTGAACTTTTTTTTAAAATATTAGACTAAAGCTCAATCTAGCTTTCTCTTACTTCAACTGCTGCAGACCACCCTGTAGTAGCATAATGAAATGGAGCTATGTCATACAGTTATTAGACACAGCTCAGCAATTAAATAATCTCTATTCACCAGTGTTAACATTGCCCATGCAAAGAGATGACCTAAGTAAGTTTTAGGCCGGTTCTTACAGTTTTCTAACGTTCATTATGATAGTTAAGTAAAAAAATCTCTGCACTACTTGGTTCGGCTAACATTTATTCATAGTAGATAGTGAAAAATACTAAAAAAGATTGGCAAACTGAAATGATAGTGTATCTTTGAAGTTTAGTGAGTTATTAAGTATCTACTGCAACTCTACTACTATAGATCAAAAGCAACTACTCACAAAATATAAACAAATGAACAAAGCTGTATTCAGTAAAACTCTAGCTATGAGCAATAAAACTTGAGTATCAATTCTCAATGTGTCATACAATATGATTATAACAGTTTTGATTTTTCCAACCATTTAAAAACACAAAACCATTCTTAGCAGGCAGGATAACAACAGAAGGAGGCCAGATTTGCTCCTCACTCTACATTCTGCCAATTCCTGCTTCACATAGAAACACTCATCTATTTTGCAAGATAATTCCACTGTCAAATTCCTAAGCAAAACATTAGTGCACACACAAATACCTGCGTTCAGCACGCTCCTTCTTCTTTAAGGCAACATCCAAATCTTGCAACTGTTCTTCTAATTTTTCACACAGCAGCTTCTGAAGAAGCAAAATGTATGTCATCTTAAACACCTTCCCCAGTAATTTTTCACGTACATATTAAGCTCGTGGGTACTGTGCTGTAAGAGCTGACAAAGGGCCACAGAATGAGAGAATACTGAAGTTTCTATTTAAAGAGGTGCTTAAGTGAAGAGAAAATGAGCATAGAGAAACACACATCAGACAAATGTACGTAGCACTGCCAGGAAGGATAAATAAATAAATAAATACCCTACCACAATCTGTGTCTGTCCCACTAGTAGTAACCTAAGTTTAAAACAGCATTTGGAATCAGGAATGGTGGCACACACCCGTAATCCCAGTACTCTGGAAGACTGAGGCAGAAGGATCACAGTTCAAGCCCAGTCTGTGCGATTTAGCAAGACCCTGTCTCAAAATTTTAAAAAAGGAGTTGGGGATGTAGCTTTGTGTAAAGACCTTGGGTTCAATCCCCAGTATCACAATAAAACTAGCATTTGATTTAACCATACAAAATAAAATTTACAATTAAAAAAGATTCAAGACATTTGAAGGGACACTGTTCATATACACACACACACATAAGTGCCAATTACTAAATTTTTAAAAAAAAAACAGATTGAAAAAAAATGTACATAACAATCTCACATAATACTGTGTCAAATAGACCTTGAAAAATATATTTGGCAAAGGTATGCTAAGCCTCAGAAGTAATATATTTCACTGAGAAATGTAATACTTATCACTTTAAAAGTAAAGTGGTTGTGGGCTGGTAAAACAAAGTACCCAAATGGCACCAAGCTACACAATTACCCTATTCTTCAGTCTCAAAAGAAATTCATCTGAATCATGAAACTGTGTTTCTTCTAATTCTGATATTATCAATAAAACTGACAAAAAGAAGGTAGAGAGAAATGAAAAAGAGGATGGGAGAATAAGATAAACTATAGACACTTATTTCTTCCCCTGTATAAATCTAAGTTCTTTGTACACATAACAAGTGTGAGAAAGAAATACATGATAGGTCTTTAAAAAGTTGGAGGACTTCTGAGAACTGCTTTGAAAAAAGCAAGAGGACCTAAAAGATATTAATAAAAAGGTGGGCATCTAAACTAGAGGCAACAATATTTACAAACTGCTTTGAAACTGAAAGATATTGTGTGACTATCCAAAAGTATTATTAATTCAGATATAAAACCAAGGGCTGGGCTGGTTCATACATGTTGGCAAGGGGGGCAAAACCATTCTCCATCAGGGATGATCATCAGAGGAGGGCGGAGGCAGGCGGTATGGTATCCACTGTCACAAGAATCACATAGAAGAATCTGAAATAAACCACATTAAGGTCAACCTAACTCTATGACTAAATTATATGATTCTCACTTTAAGATAATGACATTTCAACATTTCTTAATACTCTATTGCAAAGTATTTGTTTGTTTGTTTTGGTACCAGGGATCCAACTCAAGGCCTCATGCTTGCCTGGTGCAAGATATTCTTTATGTGCATAAAAGTAATGAATAAAAAAGCTCTGATAATTCAGGGTCTTACATGCTAATTTTTAAAACACTAAAACCTCTCAAGAAATTAAGAAAATATAAAGGCAAAAAATAGATTGAAAAATAGCAAGTCTTTCCTCAACAAGAATTAGAATCACTTTATAGTGTATCCTAAGGGTGACAACTGCACAATTTATAACGAAGTTTCAAAGCTGTAGCATCAGAAACTAATTTACCACACAATGTGTCAAATACTTATATACAAGAAAGTTTCATAGTTCCTTTTAGTATACAAATTCAAACTAAGGACTGAAGTACAGAAAAGGAATGGAACTATATTCAGAACCGTATGTTCAAATGCAAATGTTACTACTAATAACAGTCTTAGTGGATATTTCTTTCCTCGTTGAGTTTAAGATAACCAACTCACTAAAACTTAGCATGGTACAGTCATGAATGTCTAACTCAAAAATCATTTAATATCTAAACAATTTCAGGTTTATGTAAGACTTACAGTTCCCATATAACCACAAAACAGCCACCAAAACAAATCAGTATATCAGATTTTTTTCCCCTTCTCAAACTCATGACCTTGTGCTTGCCAGGCTGGTGCTATAATATCAGATTTTACAAGTCTTTCTATTTGCTGTGCTTTTTCTGAGTCTGAATCTCAGATTAGTACATTGCATCTAGTCATGTCTCCTTCCTCTATTTATAAAGCCATTCTGTCTGTTTTCCATGTTTTGATAGTCTGAGGACAGTAAGTCCAGTATCTTACAGACTGTCCCTGAATTTGGGTTTGTTCAACATTTTCTCATGATTAGACTGCAGTTACATGCTTTGCACATAATTAAATCACTACAGTCATCTGAAAAGTATTGTACAAGTGTTTTGTAGGAAGGTATAATCAGCTATGCAAACATCCTGTCTCTATTAATTTATTGCTGAGATTGTTCCAACCATGGGCATAAAGGACTCTCCTTCATATTGGCTTCTGTGATAATCCTAAGAAGGATTTATCTTTTTGCTGCCTTATATTTATTTATTATAAAGTACTTCCTTACTTTCTGGCACAACAGAATGTTTCAGCCACATCTTATATTTTCTCTGTCCAAGCCTTAGACTGCTCCAAAAAGCTTTGGAGCTTTATTGGAAAAATACTATTTAGAAACCAAGGTGTAGGTGGTCTGAATTTTCACCACTATTAGATATCGCTAATGTTAAGCTCTTTCAATAGAACACATTTGTGAATGTTTTTGCTTTGCAAACAATTTGGTTAGCACACAAAAGCATTTAGCAAAACTTCGCTTCCCTTTGCAAACTCCACAATGGGTGACAAACACAACCATGACCATCCTCCCCAGACAAACACAGCCATCTGCCTCAAATCATGAAGTTTATAAACCATGGAACCTGTGTGTGTACGTGTGTGTGCACGTGTATAGATACACACACTTATATGCATATTAAAGTATGTATGAGTTCATCCTATATTTTCAGCTTTAATATACTCTACCAGCGGTTTTGCTAAAACCAAGAACTCTTGTCTCCTATTAGGTACATTTTATTTGCTCAACCCTTGTATCCATATAGCTTGTAAAATTCTAACTCAAGTCATAGGGGAGAAAAGGTGAAAGTGGAAAACTATTCTTACCTCTTCATGCAATGCATTACCACTTGATCACAATGCCCAAAATTCAGTAGGAGCAATTTCTAATATTGTTGTAAATATGATTGGTTATACAGAAACATATTAGATACGCAACCCAATTCCACTTATCAAATTTTTTAATGATAAAACAAATTCTAAATTTTAAAATAAAAATTACAGCTATTCCTAATTTAACTCATTTTTAAAAAATTTAGCTCATTTCTAAGATAACTGTCTCTCTACTCCACAAAAAAGACAAACTGTCACTAACTAACTACTGTATGAGAGATCTAGGCCTCAGATATAGACCTACTTATTCTGACTGAAATATCTGACTAGTGCTGAAAAGTTTTACATTTACTTGTGAATTTATTGCTTTTTGGCTATAAGCTAAATGAGGATGAGGATCGTTTATTTCTAGCTCAGCATCCTATCCCTACCACTTAACATGTACTAGCTGCCTATTAATCCGTTTTAAGGATTAGCCTTACGAACTTGACAGGAGGAATCTGCACATTCGAAGATCTTCAGTTTCTTTTCGTTTTTTCAAATTTTACTTTTATTAGTACATGTCTGCAGTACAGAGATCTTTAGTATCTAATGTCATTCTCAGACAAAATAAGCAACAATGGGATTTTCCACATGGTCATTAAATAAATACAAATCCTGTGTGTGCTCCCAGAATGGGATAACTCTCTTTTCCCTTTACTCCTTCTCACTCCATTTTACTTCTTTTGCTAGGCAACTTTACATAAGTTTTTAAAAAATATTGCTCTGAAACCTGTGCTGCCAGTCTAGTTTTATAGTAAAGACATCAAGATATGAGAAGATGGTACATGTTAAGTGGTAGAAGGAGGATCTGAACCAGGTCTGTCTGGCCCTATGTTTTCCCCATCATTATCACACTGCTTTCCAAGAAACAGAGCCTAGAGGAGTCCCTCTTATGTATTTTTAAAACTTTAGAACAGTGACAAACAGTCCACTGTGGCACACATGCCACTGCTTTACAGGATCTCAAAACACTTTTTGCTCCACACATTCCATGTAGAAGGATCACTCTTTATAGTTGTTTGTATTTAATAGTTGCAGCTTGTCTTTAAACTTAAATCTATTCAAAAGAATAGCAGAGTTGCACAGAATCAGACACAGTAAGAGTAACCAACTCACTAATGAACTGCACAAAATATAGATTAGGAACTGGTTCTGCTAATGTAGGCCACCTTTGAAAAGTGCTTATGCATTAGATAAGAAAACACCATATAAATCTGGTGCTATTCTAAATATATTTGGTTTATAATTTATTTTTAAAAGTTTTTTACAATCACCCATTTAAAAACATTTAAAGTCCTACTAGGTTACCACTTGATTTATGTTTTTATAGGAAAGCATTGGCTTTCAGATCTAACTTACTTATAGTATTTCAGAAATATTATATCTCAAAAGGTAAAGAAAAAAATTAAAAGAAAAAGAACAGCTATTTGATCTTGTTGTTGTTGTTTTTTCCCTGACAGTACTGGGGACCCAGGGACATTGTACCACTGAGCTACATCTGCAGCCCTTCATGTTTTACTTTGAGACAGGGTGCTGAATTGCCTGGGAAGGCTTCAAATTTGTGATTCTCTTGCATCACCTTCTAGACTAGCTAGGACTATAGGCACGTGCCATTATGCCTGGCTAGAACAGAAATATTTGAATAATAAAAGAAATATGAGAAGAGATCAGGGTGCACTGCTATTAAGTAGAGAAAATAGCAATATATATGCCAGATAGAAGGAAAGCAAGAGTCTGATCCTTGTCCTTCTTCAAACTGAGTTATTTGAAAAAAAGAAATGAGGTCACTGTAGAATCCAAGCTCAGTAACATTAAAAAAATTTCAAATTACAATAAAACTCAGAAGAATGAGGCTGCGCCAGTGAACCCCAACATATTTATAATACAAATATTGCTCATTTATATCAAGTACATACTAGTTCAGGATGGTTTGGAAGGCCACATTTTTTGCATGGTTCATCATCATCTGCTAAGATGGCATCTTCACTTTCCTTTTCTTCTTCCTCTTCTGAAGCTGCAGATGACTTTTCACTGTCAGACCCTTCACTCTCATCATTGCTGGAATATTTCCATTTGCCACGTGATCGAGAACCAGTCCATCGAACTTTGCCTTTGGGTTTTACCTTGTATAAAATAAAATTAAAACAATGTGATACGTTATGGAATTTAAAAAAAAAAAACTCTGATTATCTCACTTGTGGACTGTTTAGTTAATATACAAAAGAAAAATTATCATCATTCTCATTGCCAGATACACCTACTATTAAATTATGATATGCACGGGATGGTGATTTAGCTCCGTGGCATAAGCGCCTACCTGGCAAGCGCAAGATCGTGAGTTTGACCCCCAGTACCAAAAAAAAAAACCATGATGATACACATTTCCATTATTTTTGGGGTTTTCAAAAATGGAGCTAAAATGACTACTGTCTTAGAAATAGTTTTCCTCTTCATAAAATATTTTTCTAACATCATTAAAAATGACTGTATAGGGCCAGAAATAAAGGTCAGCAGCACACTGCCTCCCTGGAAGCTCACATTTGTTGAGTTCAATCCCTGGTACCAAAAACAAGTAAGTGACTGCATAGTATGCTATCACGTGACTGTAAATAATCTAATCCCCTCTTAGACATTTAGGTAGTTGTTTCCCATTTTTTCACTTTCATAAACAATGTATACTTGTAAATATAAATATAAACGCTTTTATGGTTAGGATAAATTCCTTGAAGAGGATTCTGGGTCAAAGGCCATGCACATCTTAAAGTCTATGTCAATAACAGATGACTACATATTCACTTTTATTTTAAAACCTCTATGAGAAATGAACCTAACAGACAAAAAAAGGGGGGGGGGATGCTGGAGATTTAGCTCAGTGGCATAAGCGCCTGCCTTGCAAGGCGTGAGTTCGATCCCTGGTACCAATAAAAAGGAAAAAGACAAAAAGAAATGAACCTAACATTTTTAAGTGGGTCAGATATGGACATAAAAATCTTGACAAACTTAAGTTTGCAATGCTGCGAACAGCTTTTTATTGCCTACTTTTGCAATCTTTTAGGTTCTTTCATTACAGGTCTCCATTTTTAAGTGGGTCAGATGTAGATATAAAAATCTTGACAAACTTAAGATTGCAATGCTTCAAACAGCTTTTTATTGCCTACTTTTGCAATCTTTTAGCTTCTTTCATTGCAGGTCTCCAGCTAAGAACAAAATAATTCTAACAGGAAAAAAAAATTTTTTAGACAATTAAAAATGCAGTATTTCATGGAACAAAGGATCAGTTAACAAGGAAGATAAATCTGATCACTTAAAGAAATTAAAAGCAGAAGTAACATTCCTATTTATAAAGACCGCCAACAGACTCGCCAATAACTTTTTGGTTTGTTTCTTGAGACAGGGTCTCACTTAGTAGTGCAGCTGGCCTTGAACTCACTATGTAGTCTACAGCCAACAACTTTTAAAAGATTTTTTAAAAAATAAGAGCACCAAATAAAAAGAGGATTCTGGTTTCTAATATTAATGATTAAATGGGAGAAAACAAAGCATCCTCATACAGTGGGATGAGATGGTACATTTATAGGGCCTTTATGGAGGGCAATGTAGCAACATTATCAGAAATTATCCTACACATGCCCCTTGACCCAGCAATTCCAATTCTAGGAGTCTATTCTAAAGAAATACTCACTCATGTCCCAAAGGATCTTCAATGCAGCATTGCCTGTAATAGTGAAAAATTGGAAACAACCTAAATGTCAATTAATAAGGGAGTGGTTAAATAAACTGAGGTATAGCCACACTATGAAATACTATGTGTTCATTAATAAACAAAAGGTGGACTATATATTAAGCAAGGTAACAGAAAAAGGAACTGATTGGATCTAATTTATTTTTATATGATTAAAATCCTTTTAAAAATATACATAAATACATGGAAAAAGGATTGAAACAATATGCATCCCAAACTATTAATAATGGTTGTAAAGAATGTTTATTATCCTACAGGGTAGGTATTACTTAATAATTTATAAAAGGACTAGAAAAAAAGTTTACAAAAGAATGTATTTGTCCTATAATAGAAAAAGTTTAAAAAAAAATAAGAGTACACGGTTTGAAATTATTAGGGATAACTACTATGAAAAAGAGCAATGAAGTTTTCCCCCCCTTATTTGCTTTTGAATGGACTGTTGTAGTCAAAAGTAAAAAGCTACAAACACAGACACATGTATTTCTAACTAAAATTTAATACTCAGAGAAGAAGTTTTACCTTGCTTACTTTAGAATTTATATCCTTCTCTTTTTGCAAATTTTCTTTTTTATCTGTTTTTTGTGAAGCTGCTGAGTCTTCTTCTACTTCATCTTCGCCTTCACCTCTTTTTTTATCAGCTTTCTGGTCCCTTATCTCAGCTGCTTTTGCTGTAGGTCTAGATATTCTTGGAGACCTCCTTAAAGTACGACCCACATTTGCTTTTTCTTCTTCCTTTTCTGTCTTGTCTTGCTTGCTTTCTGGTTCTAGAATTTGAGGGGGACAATCTGGCTTCTTCTTCCGACTAGATATCCTTATTGTTAATTTGATACCTTCTTTCTGCCTTTCTGAGGTTATCTCTGTATTTGCCGAGGAAATGGTTTCTTCTTCAGGAACCAACTTATATTTAAATTTGCTTTTTTGTACAGAATCCTTTGTTTCAGAAGGCTTGCCCAAACTAGAGGTCTGAGTATTGTCTAGATTATCCATTTCCACTTTCATAGACTCAGAATCTTCTTTTATAATTTCTGGGTCTGTTTTTTCCAGGCCTTCAACAGAACTTATACTCTGACATTCTACCCCTTCCTTTTCTAAGATTAGTTTCTCACAATGGCCAGTCATTTTAGACAGAGAATTTTCAGCTGCCTCAGGAGATGCTTGCTTTTCTGATTCTATAGTACTCTTTGGAATTTCTTCTGGTATAGGACTCAATCTTTGTGTGTCCTTATCAAGAAATGTCTTTTTAGACTTTCCCAATTTTTCAAGACATTCTAGTGTTGGTGGGAGGTTATCCTTCTTACTTTTAGGGGACTTCTCTTCAATTTTTATAGTGCAGGCTTCAGGGGCAGATGAAGCAGTTTTTAAAGAGAGATCCTTTGTTATTTCAGAAGATTCGAAAGGTGTTTCCATTTCTGGAAGACTAAGTTCTTCCAATAGCCCTTTTTGACTGTGAGTCTCTAAGACTGATACTGAACTATCTGCAGTCTTCCCTAAAAGGGTCACTTCTTTCTCGAGCTCTTGTGTTTTAGTACTGGTTATGACAGAATTTAAGCATTCTGCTCCATTTCCTTCCATGATGACACTTCTGTCCTTAGAAAAGTTACTATACATATCTTCCTTTGTATCTAAACATTTTGTCTCTATTTGTTCTGTCCTAACATTTGGAGTTATCTTTTCGTCACTAACTTCTCCATTTACCAGTTGTTTTCCATCATGACTCAAAGCAGTGATTGTAGAGATCCTCTTACAGGTCTCCTCCTCTTGTTTAATTTCATCTTTCAAAACTTCTTTTGTTGGAGTAACTGATTTACACAGAGGTCCTTTGACTGGACTATCAAAATCATCACTCAGTTTAATTTCTCGTTTTTTAAGAGGTATCTTTGCCTGCTGGTCATTTTTAAGTTTCTCAGTTTCTTCAGGAGATTTTTCTGTAATGTCCTGAGAAGATTTGACATTGCCACCGAATTCTAGCCTCTCAGGTTCAGGTGCCCCTACCTTCTCCATGCTACCTTTGATGTCTTTGGGATCTGACCTACATTCCTTCACTTCAACTTTAATGGGTTTGATATTTTCCTTGAAAGAATCATTTTCTTCTTTGATAATCTTTTTTTCTTCACTTTCTGACAAAGATTTTTCTAGCTTTACAATGATTGGAAGTTTTGTGAGTTCCTTTTCATCATCTTTTTCAATTTTTACAATAGTCTCTTCTAAAAAATAGGCTGTCGAGTGGTTCACTGAATCCACTTGCCTCTCTTCTTTAGTCGTTTCAGTTTCTTTCTGTTCCTCTAAAAATCAGAAAAGGTTTAATTACATTAACAGAAACATTCAAGATTATAAAATATAAAAGATTTAATATAACATTTCTATGTGAAAATTCTTTTCCAAAACAGGCAGCTTTTCTCACTGGTTATGTGACAAAGAAAGTGATAAAATTGTGAAACACATCTTCTAGACATTAAAAGCTATTATTTAAAAATATTCATATTTGTATTATTTACTTTTAGCTTCAAGGTTCTGAATAGAATCCAAATATTTAATACAATTCCAATAATTTATTCAGTAATTGAATAAGCAATGGCTAACAAATATGAAACTGAAAACGCTATATAAAACAATTTTTACTTTGTTTTATAAACTGACAACTATTCTTTGCAAGTTATAGAGCACTTAACGTCACTGAAGTAATAAGAGCATATCAGTGGGAAAAGAAAAAAGAAAACATCCATAATCCTACTACACCACAAGCAACCACTAGTAATATTTTAGGTTATTTCCTTCTGGTCTTGAATGTTTTTCACCGATCTAGAATCATGCTGCCTTAATTTTATTATTAAGATACTAATGCTTTCTTATCATGTTAAATGCCCTTCTTAAAAATCAGCCAGGTATGGTGGCATATGCCTGTAATCTCAGAATTTGGGAGGGAGGAAGACTGCTGTAAATTCAAAACCACCCTGTGCTACACACTGAATTCAAGTCCAGCCTGAACAACAGAGCAAAATCCTGTCACAAAAACAAATAGCCAGGTATGGTGGCGCACTCCTGTAATTCCAGCACTTGGGAGGCTTAGGCAGGAGGACTGTTGCAAGATTGAGATCAGCCTGGGTTACAAAGTGAGCCCAAGGCCAGGCTGAACTGGATAATGAGAGTTGTCTGAAAAAGACAAAATGTATAAATTAAATTAAATAATTAAAAAATCAAACTTTATTATTCTATGAGGGTCTTGAATGTGGGAGTGTTATCAAATGCCATTATTTGCCATTTAAGTTAATATTTTATCAAAAAAATGTTTAGGTTAACCTGCCATCTCCTCTTTTATAGAACACCTAAAGGGGCAGATTTAAGCATGTCACACATCTAGGTAAACAGCACAACTTCTAAAAGGGATATCAGAAACTGGGTAGATTGCACTGCTAACCTGAACAGTTTTATTTTTTCAACTCATTACTACTAATTCTGTACATATTCCAGCCCTTCAATTTATCTTTGGAAATGGAAAATCTTCATTTCAAACAAAGTTTCACCAAGATATTAAATTTCTTTTTAAAATGTTGCAGAGACTGTTGTTGAAAAGCCTCAGTAACCATACATTTTAGGGGAATATAATAAATGGGATAGAGAAGTGAGATGAAGTATGGTATGCTTTTTAGAACTAAGTATTTTTTAAAAAGGATTTAGTATTTCATTAGAAGTGAGTATTTTTAATACAGATCTCCATTTTCTAAAAATGTCCAATTGTATAGCAAATAAAAAACTCAAAAACCATTTAAAATCATTCAGAGCTTAAGTTAAGAGTATCAGTGTTACTTTACACCACTGGTGCTGTACCATATAGTGCTAGAAATTTAAAGACGACTCATTAATTTAATCTTCCCCTTTTTTCCATTGCTGAATAGATTTAGTAAATTCTCATTGAAAATTCTCACTGAACACAATTTAACGTCTCCTATGTATATGGTTCAGGAAGTATCACGCAATCATATCATGACCCAACCCCAAGGTAAAACAACACGATGTTTTTATTTGGGGTAAAATGATTTTGAGTAACACATAAAACAAAATGAAAAATGACACGAGGTTCAAGACTCAGATTCATGAATCCTAAATGATCTACTGATGGCTCTGAGTATGCCATAAACACTCTGGTCCTCATCTTTCCATCTGTAAATAAAGCAGCTGTTCTAAATAACCTCAACTATTACTCTTCACTAATATTAAATTTCTCTTATCCCAAATAAGTTAAATCACTGGAAATCTTATATCAGTTCTTTGGCTCAGTTCTTCAACAACAACAATAAATTGCTACAATTGTTACTCTAGCCCCTCTAAATTACATTGGTAGTCTCCTTAACAGTACAGAAACAGAGGAATCATGAGACAACAGGAACATAAGTATGATAAAGGAAGAAAAGGTCACTTGATTATGAGTATGCCTTCAAGATTTGTCAAAAACTGACTGTAAACGAGCATGTGGGGGTTGGGGATTTAGCTCAGTGGCTTAAGCGCTGGCCTGGCAAGCGCAAGGTCGTGAGTTGGACCCCCAGTACCCCCCCCCCCAAAAAAAAAAAAAAGCATGTGAATGTGAATGAGTTTCACTGGCATGAAATTTGAAGCAACAAAAGGAAAATTTATTTGACAAATAAAAATAAACACTAACATTTTCAAAACCACACTTGAGGTGACCTTATTAAGGGAACTGATATTTACTGTAGGTTTCTAAACGTGATTTATTTATTTACTGAAGAAATATTTACTGATTACCTGGTATATGCTTTCCTAACTACTCAAAGCAAAATTGCTAACACTGAATATTCTACACCAACTGTGGAGGACACTGATAGGGGCCTACATAGTATCTAACCACCTCCTCTTTCTTATTAACAGAACCCAAATTTTCTTGAGGAAGGTGCATGCCTCCTCAGATATCTTACAGCTTTGAGTGATATGACTTAGTTACAATCAAGGAAAGGTATGAGCAAATCTGTTGAGGATAGCACTCAGCTGACTTGAGTCTTCTGGCTTTTCCGGTGTAGATTCTACACAGTACACCTGGAGAAGGAGTAATCAAAGCCACATGATAAAAAGAGACTAGCAAGTTCTTGATTTCACCTAACTACTATATAAAAGCTAGACTTACCACTTGATTTTTTATTGTAAAAAAATATATAAAATGCCAAGTACCGTATTTTTAAAATATAATTACCTCTCACTTTAGCTTCCTATTTCCCACACACAAAAATTTACTCATTCACTAAATATATTTTGCTCTTATCTTCTTTTGAATGATAGAGGGGTAACTAGTAATTGATAAGGTTTTAGTTTCTATAATGATTCTCTTTTACAACAAGAGAAATGAGAAGCAAATTAACAAACACAGTAAAGAGCAATTTGGAGTATCTTTTTTTAAAAAGTGAGGCCTTGTACATCATTCAGCATTCTACTTATACAGTACATTTACAGCTATGCATATATATAAACATATTTCATCCATAAGTACTTGTAGCATTGCTATAAAGTGAAAAACTAGAAACAACTTAAATAGCCTTCAATAATAATAAACAATAATTGTTACACGGTCATTAAAATGAAAGTCATCAATTTACATGGGTCAATAAATATGGATAGGTGTCAAAGCCACAATGAGCAGAAAAAGCAATCTACAAAAGAATAGGCACAATGTGGTATTATTTATTAAAAAAAAAACAATAAAGCATACCAACGACAAAATATTGGTGTGGTCATATACAGATGTATAAACAAGTATGTGGGACCAAGTCACAGGATTGGAAAAAGAAGAGACAGGCTTGGTGGCACATGCCTGTAATCCCAGCACTTCAGAGGCTAAGGTAGGAAGATCTCAGGGAGTTCAAGGCCAGCCTGAACTATACTTTAAGACCCTGTCATTAAATAAATAGGAATGAAAAGAAAAATGTTTTAGCTGTAACTTTTTAAAAAATATATATAAAACCTGGCAAAATGTTGCGTACACAGATGATTTGTTATCTACTTATGTAAATTTATTAAAAATTAAAAAGCTCATGGTTAGATAAATTTTAATACTCTTGATGTTATCACTACTACAGGTGTGAGATCTTGGAGAAAACACCTGAACCTTTCTTGTTTTTTTTTTTTTTATCAAATCCAAAGGAAAAAAAATAAAACAAAATAAAATGTCTCTTGATTCTAAATTCCAAAACTAAAATATAAATTCCTATACCTCAGGGAGTCACTGTGATGATTTTTTTTTTTTTTTAAATTAAGCACATGAAGCACTATTACAGTACTTGGCCACTGTTTTTATTTAGTCCCTTCCCTTTGCCACAAACGTTAGCCACGTCAAAAAAATTTCAGGATTTCCTAAAGCTACCATTGGCAGCCTTCCTCTCTTAACTTTGCCTAAAGACTTTGCTTTTTAATTTGAGATACTAAAGATTAAGCCTTCGAGTATTAAACTACATTCCCAACTCCTTTTGCCAGCTAACTAGTTATCGTCATTTTGAGACAAAAACCTTGCTAAGTTGCCAGGTTGGTCTTGAACTTGTGTTCCTCTTGCCTCAACCACCTGAGTAGCTAGGATTATAGCCTAGCTGTGCCTAGCTTTGCATTTCCACAATTTAGCTTTTACCATTCTTCAACTTTTAATATTAGTAACTATCTTCTAAGGCTATATTAATGGTGGCATGTAATACAGCATGCAAAGCTTTACCATGAGTGGCATACAGTAGGCATTCAATACTGATTAATATGGTCATTAGGTTGACAAAATCATTCAATATAATTATTAGACTGACAAAATCATTCAAGCCCAGTAAAGTGTCACTCTATTTTATAGTTTTGTAACTGATAATTTCCCCATAAAGAATTAGAAATTTCTCCTGGTTGTACATTGCTTTATACAGATTTCTATTAAAGCAATTACTCAGAATTATAATTATTCATTCACAAACCTATCTAACCTATTAAGAGAATTATTCCTTAATTCTTATTACTAATTATTTACCTGAGGGACACTTAAAACCTGTTGTCTAAAATGAATAAACTGAAATAGCAACAAGCTCTATTCTAAATGTTGACAAATAACAGCAATACTTTTTAGGACATGTTTAATACAGGAAGTCTTTTTATACTGGTTGTAAGACACTATTTAATCTAAAGTTCTTTGGAGTGCATCTGACTAACTTATGAAGATTAGGGCAAGGATATGACACATTTAACAGATGCAAAGGTATACTACATGGAAGAAAACTTAATAAATACCTTTTCTTAAGAGACCACTTAAAAGATA